CTTTTTTGGAAGAAAACAAATCACAAAGCCCTCTCAATCTCAACGTAAACCAGGATTTTAGTATCTGTCATTCAAATCCAATGAGAATAATTTTACATGGGTTGTAGCTTTCAGTGTAAAAGGCTAACTGTGGTTTTGTTTGGTTTTCCATGGGACATATCTGCTCTCACTCCATTTCCATGGATGTCTTGAGTAGTACCCAAGTGGAAAATAGAATTAACATGTTGAGTAAGCTTTATTCTTCTTTAATTTGTTATTGCTGTCATTAAGAGTCATTTATTTTACTTTGCTAATCATCACAGGAACAGCAATAGAAATGTTATATATCTGCAGGTTGCTTGTTTCTTGTTTTTGGGTTTTTTTTTTTCCAATTGGGCAAGTCTTTTTCATTCAGTAGAGTCCAGGCATTAAGTGGGATTAACCTGGAAGCATTAACAGGTGATCAAAGAAAAAGAGCGACACTCTTGCCCTTCAGAAAGCAATAAAAGTTCATTTCTGTTATAGGAGAYATGGCCAAGTAGATCCAGATTCAGTACTGATTAATACACATGAGGGAACAGAATGTGGAAACATAGGGAGAAAACAAGCTTTTGAAATATCCTATTAACAAACTTAACTTTCCACTTGAACAGAACCTCAGTAGTTGTCACATTCCTTGTCCTTCTGTCTTTGGCCAACAATACACACACACACACACACACACACACACACACACACACAGCTTCTAGCTGCAAAGTTAACACCTATATCTATGAAGTTTATGCAAGGCCAAGTAGTGTATCAAGCAAATTTCTTTAACCTGTGGTCATGCAACCAAAGATTCCATTTCCATTTTTTTTTTCAACAAAGCAAAATCTACGACCTTTGCTAATTTAGCAAAATTTACTTTCTGTATATTCAAGTGCCTTTACAGTGCTTTTATATAGATAGAAATCAACCTGATAAAACAAACACACACCCCAACGCTGTTTAATCACATAAGTCCTTTGCATATTTCTTTGCACTGGTTATATCATTGAATATTCATTTCTCCCTGTGTATTCCCTGGCTTTCATATGCAATTGAATATTTGTCTTTTAACTGGATGCCACTAGTTTCAGTAGTGTCAACATCTGCTAATGCCTCTTTAACACGGTGTAAACAGAATAGCAAAAAATACACAAACATTGAAAAAAACTCCTGAGGAGTTGATCAGATGTGGAGATGATGGGCAGGGGGGCTGCCTTGGAGCTCCTCCTAAAACTCATTATTACGCAGTCAATCATTGTTGTCCAAGTAGGAGCAAATTGTATCCCGACTCTAACACTCAAATCACCATCACTGCAGTCCTCACACAAGCCTTTGGTTTCTACTTGTCATCCTCCATTCCCCTACCAGCTGGCTACTGGTGGCTGGTGGACATCTTATGTTTCTTCAGTTCTTTTTTCTTTTTTTTTTTTTTTTTTCTCTCCTTTTAGTAGCTTATCATAGAATGGTTGAGGTTGGAAGGGACCTCTAGAGATCATCCAGTCCAACATTCCTGTTCCAGCAGGGACACCCAGAGCACGGGGCACAGGGTGACATCCAGGCAGGTTTTGAAGATCTCCAGAGAAGGAGACTCCCCAGCCTCCCTGGGCAGCCTGTGCCAGGGCTCTGGCACCCTCACAGGGAAGAAGTTCTTCCTCACATGGAGATTGAACTTCCCMTGTTTCAGTTTGTATTCACTACCCCTTATCTCTTTAGGCTAGCAGATATAYTTCCCAAAATAGCTTTCTCAAGTTAATGAAACCTGCAGGGAATTGAAAGTGAGCATTTGCTTTCATCTGGATCAGGAACATTGGACCTGTCTCACTACAGYACACTTTAGAGAACAGAATTTAGCAGTTCAAGCCAATGTGCAGGTGGAAAAATATGCTATTAGAAACTCCAGGACCTGAAGCTTCCATGCATATTTTCATCTTTCTTGGTTACTCTTTGATGTGCAGAACCAGAAAATTACTTTCATAGCTCAACTAGGCAAATATTTAAATGCACTACAGAAAAAAAAGTCAAAAGTAATGGACTTTGGGCACAGATTTTCACATCATATAGTTCTATGATTTGMAATGTTTCCTAGAGAAAGGCCAAACTAGTGGATTAGATGTGTACCTTCGACTACGCTTTCAACATTCTTCACTATTTTTACCCACAGTTATTTATACCAAGATAGGATTTTGTCAAGTGATTTCCCATTCCATAAAGTAAATAAAATTGTAGARTATTAAAGAAAATAGGATAAATTTCTTCCAGGTTTATAGCTATGAATCTGCCAGGCTCAATGACCTGCAGCATTTTTGAGTTAGTAGCTTACAAACTAATCATTAAACATCAATAATGATGAATTTCTCAAATACCTTCCTTAAAAATATCRAGCCATGCTCTAGAGATGTTAAAACATATCTATTACATTTAACAAGTGACAAAAACACTAGTCAGCAGCAGATTTGACAATATATTAAGCAGCATAAGGAGACATTGAGTTGAGAGCTTTCAGAGAAGAGAAATAAGGAAATACTCAGCATCCCAAATTCAAAAGAAAACCAATCTCAAAACATAATAAAAAAAAAGGACAGAACAAAAGCCAGGGAAAATAGAGACATGCACTGAAAGTGAGGCAGGAGCAAATATTGGCATATTGTGTCAGACAAGACGTATATGAGAAGCAATGGGTGATATGAACAGGACAACCACAGGTGAGGTTTGCTCCTGTACACATCAGCACGTGGGAAGGAGAGAAGGAATGGGAGAAGAACGAACTCAGGGAGGAGAGAGGGATAAGCAAATGCCAAGGGGGAATTTCAGAGATAACCCATAGGATATATTTAGCTTACATTTCTTAGTTGGGGAAGAGATTTTACCCTGTGATGAGCTGCTATTAGGAGAGTTAAAACAACAATGTAAGCTAGTTAAACTTACTGTATCAGCTGATCTAACAGACAAGTACTGTTAGGAGATACAGAAATTAAATTCAGCCTCCTTGCAACACAAGTAAATTCTCTCCCCCACTCTTTGCCCCACGTTTGACAAGAGACTTTTTTTTCTTTTGTTGCTGTTGGTGGTGATATTTTTCTTACCTTCTGAGGTCTGAATTCACTGAATTTAAATATCAAAACACTGTCATTCTGCTGAAGTACAGCCATTGATCAATCTTCTCTCTATATCCTAATTCTCAGCCAGACTTAAGTGCTTCTCTTGGTTTTATGCATACACACATTAATTGCACATGTGTCCATCATTCAAGCTTCCCTTTCTCCTTGCTACCTCTCCTCCTCTTTCTCTCCTGAAGATATAAGCATGTTTCCCACCTCTTATTCTTGTTTCACTGTCTTTACTATAGCTAGATTTTTTTTTTTTTAAAACATTCTTTAAACGGTTTTCAACCATTTCTTCATGACTCCTGCTCTGTTACTGAAGGCTATGCAAGTTCTGCTTATGTCTTACACTGCTTTCCTTTCCCACTCATTTTCCTGCTTTCTTGTTTTCCACTTTGAATCTATATAAGCAGATTTAACAATCTCTTGAGGTCCATTCCAGCCTGAGTTTTATTTATTGAGTTCAACAACCATATCTTAAAATAGGCTCAGTTATGCTCAAGACACCTGGGGTCTCATAGTAAATGYGTGTCAGACAGCTGGATTCAGGATGCAGATCCTCTGACTGTGAGCTGCTATAGTACTGAGATCATCCCTGAGAACATGAGAATATCACAATTTTGCTTAGTCTGTCCTCATATTTCTGCAGTGTTTTCCTGCAAAGGGTAAAATTAGCAGTCCACCTACCAGCCTGCACATACACTGATAACCATGTCACAAACTCCATTAATCAGTCTGATGACTATTCACACCTTATCTGCAAGGTCAATTTTTATACAGAGTCAAACAGTTTGAGTTTCAGATAACCAGGTTCAATCATTTTACCAGGCCAAGATAATCAAGGTACTGTGGAAAGGAAGAAACAGCACCAGCCAGARAAACAAAACCAGGGACTTCTACATCAACTGCATCACTGTAGAACATCCACACTTGTCAGATACTACTACGAAATAAATATTGAGTGTTTGGTATTTTAATGCAATCATCTATTATAGCTAATTCACAATAAGGTTTATCCTGAAAAACAAATTCTGAAAACATAGAGAACATCTCAGCTGAGGCTTCCCTTCATAAAAGCAGAGGATTTACATTCAGTGTGAGCAATCAATTCATATTCAGAATTAGGTGAACATAGGCAGCGTGTCAATCCGGGTCTGAATCCTTCTAACATTTAAGTAGTCGCTCAGGCCATCAAAATGAGTAAAGCAGATTGATTAAGTACTCAGCACCTGAACATTTCTAATGCAGTCTGTGTGAACCAAACCCTCGAATATCTAGATGGTGATGAGGACACCTTAAAAAAAATAGTAGTACTAGTACAATACTAGTAACCTCTAGTYAGAGGCAGAGCAACTAGGTATTTCACACCATGACACAATACACAGTTATGCAAACTTCTTTGAGCAGATCTCAAAGGAAGGAATTACCTCATTTTTTAGTATATATGTACATGTTGTATATGTTTTAAGCATATATGTACAAAATAGGCACATTAATTTCAAAAGGTTACACATACCAAATTCTATTTGGTTTAATATGTTTAAAACATTAGGACATGCGTGTCAGTCCTTGATCGCATAGAATTGGTGTCTGTAAGGAGCCAAACCAAATTCACTSTTGCAGCAATCACTACTGTTTGTTAATAATTTTTTTTCCTCCTAATATTGCTGAAATATATGCTTGCAATCACTTATTTTCTAATAGATAAGTACAGCAAAATGATTAGCCACAAATAAATGAGCCATCACTGGACAGTTGTAAGAATCTTCAGTTAAACGGGAAATAAAAAAACAAAGAAATCCAGTCAACTACATTGCATAACACAAAAAGATCATTTATTTAGATGAGTATAACTGAAATGTGGTAAAACATTTTAGCTATAAAAATAAAGTCTTTGCTGCTGTAATACTGCAGTCCCAATTCCAAATTTACTTCCACTATGACTTTCCAAGTACTTAAATTGCCTTGGCACAGATCAAATTTATTGTCCCTCAGAGCAAAGACTTTATGCAGATCTTCTCACGCCCGGCAGATTCATCTGACCTCAGATGATCTTTTCCATCCTTCCTCACAGCATGCAGAATACAGGTCCGTTTTTGCCATCAATCTCCATATAAAAACAATCAAAAACCAACCGTCCAAACAGCAAACTCTCAAATTAGAGACTTTGCATATAGGTATGCACACTCATCCATAAGCTCACATTTTTGCTATCTCTGTAGATCTAGAATAGTTATCAACAATTACTTGAAACCTTTACACCTGACATTTCTCAAAGTTACATGCACAGTAMATTCACTGAAGACTGTAGGTCTGTTTCGTATCCTTCAGTGAGAGGGTTATAAAGAGGGACCGTGGATCCTTTCTGTTCTTGCACACTGTTATCCTTCCTCTCAGGGCCTCTCCTGCAAGAATAAAAAGGAAATTACCATGCTTACACTGCTGAGTTATAAACAGTATCATAACAGACGCATGCCATCTCCTATGTTGCATTAGAAATTGTTCACTATTAATTGGAATTAAGCAAGTTTACGAAGGTTTTCTTTATGCTTTCGAAGGTATAACCAGTTGTCCCAACAATGAACTTAGGTCACTGCGGTTAAACCTGGTGAGGCGCTCAGTTAAGTCGCATTGTTATCTCTCAGCTGATCCATCCTGACACGCTAGTTTTATTTGTGATGTGAAAAAGATCCAAATTGTGTTCCTTCACTTTCATTTCAGTGCAGCTGTACTAGCAGGGCACAAATGGCTGATATAATACAATGCCATTTGTAAGGAATTGCTATAATGGTTTCATTTAATTTAAACAGAGACAGATTTGTGGGGCAAAAAGGGGCAAGAAAAAAGGCAGCTTCTCTACAGTTAGGAAGATTAACACAGAACTGATTTTCAGAACTGCAYTGCAAAATGAATCAAATATATCGTGATATTCTATAATACTGAATGCTTTTAAAATTATAAAGACTAAAAGTAAAGCTCATTTAACACTATATTAMCACCACACAATACCACACAACACTACGAATCAACAGCACACAAATTAAGTCATTCTGTGCATTTGTAAGTCTTACCACTTCAAACATTTTAATACAAAGCAACACAACAGAAATCTAAATAAAACTTCATAAATAATTTGCACCTGACYTCATAGAACAGAACACTCAGATTTTGTTTGTAAAGAAACTTAATGCAACTAAGCAATCCTTTCTTTTTGGCTATTTTTTATGCAATACCCACATTAAATTTGACTTTCTAAATCGTCCCTTCCGAGGGATGAACCAAGCAACAGCTGTGCAGCCAAGTAACAAAAAGGCAGTTTTGAACAATTAATCAATGTCATGCAGATACCAAATGAGTGATGCTTTTTAATGGCTCTGGTGTCCTATAAGCTGCCTGGAGGAAGCCGTTTCTGGGACTCAGCTGTATCACCTTGCTCTTATCATGCTCAGATGAATGCAAGTAAACCCCACAGTATGGCTGCAGTTTGATTAGGACAAAGCTGAATGCATTAAGATCCCATCCCCTTGCAGCATTTTTCTTATGCCTTGGTGAGTCTGCAAGTTTGCTCCCCTCATCTCTCAAATAAGTGAAATAATTGCTGCACAAACTTGCTATCTACAAGGAGCAATATGTTGCTACTTCGCATGCCGCCCCACTGCCAAACTAACACGCTTCTGCATACGCACTGTGCAAAGCGCCCTACAGAAACGCCAACTCAAAGCAGTCTCAAAATATTTTAATTTCACAGCATCACAGAATCACAGAATGGTTGAGGCTGGAAGGGACCTCTAGAGATCATCTAGTCCAACCCCCCTGCTCCAGCAGGGACACYCAGAGCACGTGGCACAGGGTGGCATCCAGGTGGATTGTGAGGATCTCCAGAGAAGGAGACTCCACAGCCTCCCTGGACAGCCTGTGCCAGGGCTCTGGCACCCTCACAGGAAAGAAGCTCTTCCTCAGATGGAGACGGARCTTCCCAATTTGCTTCTTTATCATCAGTTATCGTATATGTACTTCACAACAGCAACAGTAACTCTTATTTATGTCTGCACAACCATCCCTAGGGCAAGTGTGCAGGTTGTGAGGTAAGATGCCTCTCGGAGCAAGAGCCTCTACCATTATGCSTGTGTCCAGGCCAAACCACCAGTGTTTTTCAGTCTGCAGCTTGGTGCCTCTAAACGGATTTGACTTAACTCTAGGAGTCCACATTGTCTCCTGCATCATATATATCTGTAAGACCTACTTAAAAGGTTGGAATGATACACAACAATGAACTCAATGTCAAAAATTGTTCTGCCTTTCAAGACAATTTAATTTGCCCTTGTTCTTGGTTTACAAGAGACTGAGTAATTTAATGAAAGTAGTTAGCAACCAAGATCTTCCCAGTTTCCTTCTTGCTTGCTTCATAATGTCCTTTCAGGGGAAAGGAGAAGACAGGTATGGACTCAAAGCTGCATTTATTTGGATCCTCTAAGCATTTATTCTTACGCTCMTTAAAACCTGCAATCTTTAACCTAAAGAACGGTCTAACCGAAATGGTTCCAGACAGAGCTGCTAAGAAACTGCACAGATTTGGGCCAAAGACATCTAATCTACCTAGCAACTGGTGAGAAGCATCTTTCCCAAACTCCTATACTATAACAACACAGGCTTTTAAGTAGTTGTCGTATGTGCCTTCTCAATTAGGCAACAGCTTTCCTCTCCAGGTTAGACTATCTTACACCACACAGAGGTCTGGCACACAGCTCAACAGGAGCAAATCTTGAAAGCATTACATTTTGAGAAAGTTGGCTAGACAGCAACTTTCAAATACCGTCCATCTTCTGAAAACAAAACGACTGAGACGCAGAAATCATTTGTCTTAGAACCAAGAGCATTTCTCTTAAACACAATAACTTATCCTTGATCTTTCTGTTCATTTTTATTAAACTGTAGACAGCCGCAGGGATACAGACTACCACCTTCTCATTTGGCCATGTCTTTTAGTGAATCGCCAATCCAAGAGCAGTTTCTGTACTGAGCAGGAATCGTGGCTTTTCACTATTATTCCTCTGATCTATGACAGACCAGAGCTTCGACAGGAAGCTATGTTTCAACAGTGGAAAACAGGTACGAGAAGGTATCTCCAGGTAGTGCCTGAACTACACACCTGAAACGTGTTTCTGAAACGCCAGCGGAAGTATTTTAGATAGCAGATTTCAGAAGATACACCATAAACAAGTGAGATTTAGTCCTACCTCAAAAATTAAATAATTAAAAATTTTTAAAAGGAGTACGATATTTAGAGATATCGGTTGTCAGTGAACAAGCAGCAGTGTTACRAGGACACCAAGTTGCTACTGTAGACATGCTAAACAGACACCAAAATCTCATCTGGAAATTAAATTCTCCAAGTGACATGGATGGTAGAGCAATATTACAACATAAGATCAAAASTGATTAATTGTACCAATTTTTTTCCCACTAATTCTAACAAAACTCACCAGGTGGATAAATTACCATTTTGCAAATTTTAAGCTATCCAATTTAGCATGTCCAGCTACCCAGTTATGGGAACTGGGAAGCTGAAGATGGTCAAGGCTTTTACAAGAGTTTAGCCAGATGAGTTCTGCTTCAGCTTTGCAATGCTAGGCCACTTCAGCTCCAAGGAAAACAAAAGTTTTATTCCCACATCAGGGCAAAAATCAAGAACACAAAATGCTGACAATATACTGTTTGATTGCTGACAGTACTTGCTTGCACAGATTTGGGTTTTAGCTTGATGCACTTTCACTGAGAAGATTCTGCTCTGCGGGCCCTTTTACATTATTTCTGTGAACATTATACTTACTTAGTAAATTCTTGAGCCTGAACCAGCTGAGAAGATACTCTGTTCCTAATTTTCTTTTTGTAAAGTTTAATAGGCATACTACCACAATACAATGATAGCAAAACATTTTCTTTATTAATGGTTCAAACGTAAAAGATAGCGCACTGGCATCTCAGTTTCAATTTCCAGAATAAAGGCATTTTCAGGTTAATAAAAGGTTTGCTAAGTAAAGTCTTTCACTCCGTAGGGAGTCCGCRATACAATACTCTTCTGCCTAGGAAAAACAATATTGCAGGCACTAATATATCCTCTGGTTTCCTCCTCCTCTATTTTTTTTTTTTTGTTTTACTCCATTCCTAAATGTTGTTGATGCTGTTTTTTATTTTGTTTTATAACAGTTTCAAGTCTATGGTCACAGCCTGCAAGGAGAAAAAACTGCCTTTCAGAATATATTAGAAGATTGTTTTCCAGAGACATGTTAAAGCTAAACTAAACCAAAAGAAATTATCCACTGTCATCCCATACAAAGTTGTCTATCACAGACATCTACCAAGTTGGAACCCAGCAGCAAATCAAAAATATTAATTAGGCTTAACCTACTCTTTCAGAAAATAAATATATCTTCCTTTACAACCAATAATATGGCATCAAACAACTGAAAACATTTTCTAGTTCACAACACAGTGCAAAATAATCTTTAATAGAAGATTTTTGGAGCAACAAAGAAACAGAAGTCAGACAGAACAGTTTAAAAACCAACCAAAACAACAACAGCCACAAAACCCAAAACAAAATAAACCAAAACCTTCTGTTTAAGTATCAGGACATAACTTCTTCCCTGCTGGGCTTATATCCTCTATGAACAAGAAGCACCCTCCAGAACTCATCACTGTAATTACCCAGGAAAAGGTAGATTTCCTCAGAGTTTTTCTCAGAACTTTCTTTCGTGCTAAAGTGATAGGTAGAGTATCCTGAAGTGGTCATTTGACAGAAGAGAATGGACAGAATGGGCAAAAGGATGGAAAAAAAGCACCTTAAATAATTAGGAAGAGAAGGAGAGAAACAGAAAATAAACAAATGAAAAGCATAGCATCAACATGATTTGTAAAGGGAAAAATTGCAATAAATATTAGCTAAGGAAGGGAAAGCAAGGAGTTATGGCCCAAGTATTCTTGAAGGTCAGCTAGGCGGGTTCACTACTTCTGAGCAGTTTCTGCAGTTGGCTTTCTGAAGTCACTGCACCTGGCACACTGGAGCACCAGGGCCCAGCAGACCTCCCAGTAATTCCAGACATTTGCTAAATGTCAAATGAATWTTAAATAATGGGCATATTCTAACAAATGCCACTGCACTTTAAAAAATTTTGCTTCATACTCTGTGACATTGAAATTTAATGAGCTGCAACAAGGAGACCTTGGCCAGCCTGATCCAGAAAGAGAAACTGTACAGAACATAAACCCAGTCTAAGGGCAGTAATGTGCAGGTGTATCCCACGTGGTGACAGGGCATAAGAACAAGCAAGAATGACTTAAGTACATAACAAGCATTTACTTGTGAAGTCAAAGCACAAAAAAAGAGAAATAATATTTGTGAAATACCATAGACAACAATGTCTCTATGAAAAAGGCCTTGGCAAAAAGCCATCCTGGATTAAAGCCAGAAAGGCACCTACCAGTGCAGTTTAACTGGGGCCCAGACACCATCACCACCACCAGATATTGGTCATCAGGTCTGTTAACAGCCCACAGTGTCCTGCTGCCTCAACACTTCTATCTCACCTCTAAACTTCTTCACCTCTGTTTCATTTGTAACCATCACACGAGTTTTAATAGATTGTCCTCACTATGTCTGGTCTATTTATATGTATAAACTCTTCGGGAAGGGGGCATCTATTACTGTACATTTATTAAATGACAAGCAGAGTGGAGCTTCATTCCCAGTTGATTCTTAAATCCCACTAAATTGCCAAAAAATAAAATAAAATAAAATAAAATAAAATAAAATAAAATAAAATAAAATAAAATAAAATAAAATAAAATAATATTGAAATTTAGAGCATCTTCCAGCACCTTGTTTAGATATAAAAGTAGTTTGAGTATTTATTTAGTAACCCTTTTAACATGTAGATAACTCAAATATTTAAATGTCAAATTTAACAGGAACAGCAACATTGGACAATTAATGCCACGCCACAAGTTAATTTAAATATACCTGCTTCTACAGGAAYTGGTTTCTCCAGAAGAAAAATTGTTTGTTTCCAGTGTGTTTTGGTACAAAAYGGACTAGTTGAAAACAAGACCTGCATTGGAAGAGTTTAAAAGCTTGATTAAGAACAACGTTCTTAACATCACGTTACGTCAATGAATTACCAACACATACACATGAAGCTCTTATAATAGCAAAACAGACTCGCTGAAAATCTTGAGGCAGAAAAACAAAACCCCCAAATAAAATAAAGACAGCTTTCAAAGTCATTTTTAACATGCAGAACCCAAAACACTCACCTTGCTGCAACAGTCCTTCTCAAAAAATATATCAAAGTAACCAGCAATTGCCTATAATAAAARGAAAAGAGAAATATGTAAGTATCACTGACATCCAAGAAAATGTCCATTATGAGTACAGTTGCTGGGATTTCTTTTCCTTTTTAAGCCTTTACTTATAGGAAGAGGCTTTGTTCTCTGTTTTTAAATATGCTAGAAATTATTTGGAAAAAAAATATATATATATACACACACTTCAACTTTGTTGTACTCAAGAAAGTAGTACTTTCAGAAAAATATTCAGTCTGCTCTGTCTCTGTTATATTACACAACATTTTTAGCTAGAAACTTTCTAAAATAAGCACATTCTAACTGCAAGTAGAATTGCATATTAGAAAACAAACAACAAACAAAACACACACGCACTTTTTAGATTTACAAACCCAGAAGCCTAAAATTCAGTCCTTGTCCTTTATGGCCCCCACAACCCTCAGTAAAAGAACAAGAACGAGGGACRCGGCAGGAGGAGGCGTTCGCTCTTGGCACGGCTGGATCCATTTTCCATAAAAGCTCCTTGGAAGCATAACTAACCAGGGAATATTATTCTTCCTCTATATACATACTGATAAGGAAAAGGATTCACAAATGCCTTGCTCTAGCCCTTCCAGGAGCTGGTAGTTCCTAATAGTGACTCCCCATAGCATTCCTGGGAACACTCCTCAAAAAGGGCCTTTCTTCAGCGTGTAACTCAGGAGTGGAACCTACCTTCCAGCTTTTAATACTTCCAAAGTCTTCCAATGCTGGCCTGCTTTTTCAATGACAAATAAATGGGAGTCCAGGCATTTTAAAAATGCACATAAAGAGCTGAAAGATGCTAATACAAGAAACTTCACTGCAAATTAGCATCAGCATCTCCCTTCYTTTCACAGTACCAGTGTTGTTCCGGCTTACCGAAATCTATGAAACCAGTTATTTTGAATAGGTGCAAAAAACAAGTTCTGTAGCACATGCTTCATGTTAACAGGTAGATGAATTGCGAGAAAAAACAATGTTAAATAAATTTAAAAGAGTATAACAGTGGAATGGCACATGGCTTTACCATTAGGTAATATGGTGCTGGTATTTTTTCATGCTAGTCTAAAACCTGAATTGGTGACATGATCCCGAATATAGTGCCTTAAAGGAAATTAGTCTACGTTAGCTGTCTGTTACCTGTGTTATTTTCAACTAATGGCATGCTAGAGAGGCCTGGGCAGCTCCAAATTGCAACATGGTGCAATATTCTTTAGAAAATGAAGGATGGATGCACGGACACATCCTGGGATCTTCACGAGSGGAGAGCGCTAGATGCTGCCAACAGCAGCTCCTCCGTTCCCGAAGCAAGGCCCATCGCTCAACGCGGAAAATCTCATTCCCAAACGAATCACGGCCTTGCCTCTAATACACCTTTTGCAGTTAAGATTGAGAAGGCTTTGACAGAGTTTTATTGACCCAKCAGACTAGCTTTATTGATCTTTTTGGGACACTAGAGATCTAAGTCACAAAAATACATTTCAGTCAACAGGTCAATACCGTTGATATACCTGCAAGTAAGACTTAGGATGTGATCACTGGGGAGAGGGAAGACAAGCTTGCAACACTAAAAATAAATTAAGAATTGAGGGCAGACTGGCTTCTATAGACAGCAAGGCAGTCAAACTACATTTTAGACCTGAAGGCTGAATCAGTGCCCCAAACCCCAAGCGCAGGCCTCATTATGCAAGAGAAAAGGCAAACAGAGATGAAAGGGGTGCTTTTAAGTACCTAAAACTACCAAAGAAAAAAAAAAAAGAAGTTTTAAGTTTTTATAAAGCAAGTCCTCCCTTCCTGCCATAAAATCTACCACATATAGCTAMGCAGCAAAATAGGAAAGGCAAAAGAGATCCCATACAAGTGTCCTACTGGAAGCAACCACGCACACAGCAGCATATTAAGATGAAGGTGAGATTTTTGCTCAAGAAGCAATTTTTTTTTTACAAGAACAAGCAACTAACTCCCTCCCCGAATTTCAAGATGACGTTTTACTGTCATGGGATGTTTGTTGGCTGGTTTTAAGCACAACAAGAGCTGTTATTTCCTCCTGTGCAGCTTGCCTCAGCTTGTTGCTCCACCTTTGACAGCACATCTCCAGCTTCTCCAAGGACTAAACAGCAGGAAGCCCCTTCTACAATTTTGTTCAAGTGCTAGTCTCTTGAAACCTATGAATGACTTGAACAAAAATAATGATTTCCGAACTAGTAATAAATAACTTTTGAGCTTAGAGCGTAGAGTTTCTGTTGTTACACATTGCATAACACATTATTTTCTCTGGTAGTAATAAACAAACTGCAAAGAGAAAAGGAAACTTGCTCAGATAAAATAAAACAGTTCCCTACCCACACCCTGCCAAAAATCACACACAAACACCATCCCAGAACAAACACCTCATGCTTACCCAGGAAACTAAGGTTAATTAAAGAAGGGAAAAATATTTAGGAACAGATTTGTGTTATTTAGGTTATAAAGCAGCATCCTGTAAATGACAACAAGAATAAAATATTCTAGAAGTTAAAATCACAGCCTAAGTCAAACTCTGGCTCTACCTGACTTTGCAAACCCAGGGTTTTGATTAACAGCTTATTTTAAATATCTTAGATATCTATAAAAATATCATGGAGGGTTTGTACAGTGTTGCTGCAAAGATGAAAGACTGCAATTGTAGTGGAACAAAAAGATTCCTCTTCCTCAAAAAGATTCATGTCTTCAACCATTTTTTTTCTTCCTTCCTAAATAAACTACCTAGAGGCTAAATTATTTTCATTCATTAATGTAATACGTACGAAATACATTAAGTTCACAAAAAGCTGTAACATATATGTAATAAATGAATATTAAYATGTATTCTTTATTTATAACCTTCCTCTTAGAGGCCTTAGATGACACGCAAAGAAGAGACTAGATTTTAATTAAAATGATACTCAATAACAACGATTTTACTGAAGAAAATGGCTGGCTGTACACGAAGCATCTTAACAGGACAAAACAAATGAGCCTGTCTGAGCCCTTATGAGAACTCAGAGCGACTAACTTAGCAATTCACTTAGGGAACAAGGAAATTAAAAATTATCATCATCATCACTATCACCTACGGTGGGTCATTTATCATTCCTGCGCTTTGCTAGTATCATGTTCCAACAGTGAGTGGCTACAGCAAATCCAATTAGACAGCTGGCCACAGAAGTGGGAGGATAATGTGCTTTTGATGGAGTTTAGCCAAGCATGGAGATGGAATGCTTGTAATCCAGGCAGCAGAGCAACGGTGTTTTCCCCACAGTGGAATAATAATAATAAAAAAAGCTAAAAGTTATTATTAAAAATTAACAATTTTGTATTTTAAAAAGAATCACTTTCTGAAGATTACTGTAGAGAAGGGTATAAATAACTATGTAAGTCAGAAGGGCAAATCCTGCTCTGTAATGCACCTTTCCTTTAAACAGAAATCTGGCCTTCAAGGTATGTTTGACAACGGTACCAGCTTTTATTTAACAACATTTAGTTGCTCACCTCGAGTTGGAACTAAATACTTACTAAACACATACATGTTAACAACTAAATTTGGCTCCCAAATGCAAGGAACAGATTAATTTAACAAGTAAGATTCTAACAAGCAAAGTTTGGTGGTTTTTTTTTTTTTTTTTTTTTTTTTAAGTCAAAATAATCTTCTCCAGAACCAACTTTATTTCTTTTTTCCTTCGTAAAGATTTTATTACCTCAGTCACGTCCTCTGGGTCATTATCCTTCTCTCGCTCCCCTCCTCCCTCCCACTTTTTATATACATGCACTGCTCTCTGACACGTTCTCCTGGGAGCAATGAAGAGATACTGCCACGTTCCTCCCTTGGGATATTGTTATTCAGCTAGGAAAGACAAACCTTGATGGACTCGCAGGGGAAACGCTCGCAAACAAAAGAGAAAGTTTGTCAATTGATTCTTACACCGAGGGTAATCACCATTATATTTTATCTCAAAGGCTCACACAGTGATCAATTCAGAATACAATTAATGGAATATTTTCCTAACAGCATCTACTAACTGATATTAGCCAGATGTCTCATTAAAATCAGCAGTGACAAATCCTAGTTCGTTACCAGAAAATGCACTTTTGCAATCTAATTAAATTTATTTTTTGTCTATTTTCTTTTTAAGACCGAAATCAAGACAACCTGCATTAAAGTCGCTTTGAGTCAACTTCATATAACGATGGCAGGCAACTGCTTTGTGACCTGAAAATCTTCCATCTTCCGCATTTATAGTGCTAAATAAAGTAGCTAGATCCTAAAAGATAATAGTTAGTGGTGAGCCATAGGAGGAAGTAAAACTARCAGAAACGATACTTGCTCTAGCAAAAGTCCTGAAATGCTTTCCTCCAAAGGCAGTTAAAAGCAGCACATATAAGGTGACTGTCATATTTCAATATTTATTTTCACAGATCTTTCCATGTTTTGCAGGTTAATTTGGATTTTTTTTCTTGAAGACTCATCATTTGCTTGAAAGCTGGATGGAAAACTGTCTAAAGGATTAATTTTATTTGGTGGATGACACAGAACAAATACATCGCAAGATAACCTGCAATACATTTAAGATGCACCTGAAATACAGAAGTTGGTTTGTAAGGATCATTACATAATAACTCTGCTTGTCTGCTTGATGTATTTTTTCCCCCCGTTACCATGTAAAGATTTTTAGTGTTATTTYATTCTTTTTTTWAAATTTATTTTTAAATTCCCAGTAATTTGAATGTATTTACAGGCTAGAAGACAGGTTCAAATTAGATATGCTCCAATTAATACTGAGGTTTGGGGATCTGCGGTTCCACTAATGCTCTCCAGCTCATCACTAAATCTGGGCACCTCTGTCCTGCCTCGCTCCATTTATTTAAAACACAAAACTGTTAAGCCTCCTGCCTTGATGGCTTTCATCAAAYCAGCTCCGCTGCAATTAATTGACACTATTATACAAGCAGATAATTAGGTCGGCAGCGAGGCCTTCTGAGATCATGGGCAGTGATCGTGTTTAGAAAAATATTTGAATTTGATTGTATTTAGAAAAATATTAATGGCATTTGCRTTACCATTTTTCATGAAGTAGCAGGTTTTATTAAGCCAAAAGAAGAAAAGTTAGCAATAACAACAAGGCCTCCCATGCTTGGCACTATTTGGGCACTATTTCTAAGGAAAAAGGTCAACTGCAGACTCCAGTTGACCATGGTATCAATGACCCATTGATGGCATCCAACTGAGCCATGGCATCAATGTTACTAACCTCAGTACACCTAAGATTTCCATTAGCTTGCACTACTTATGGATAAAATCAAATTTCTGACAGCAACACTGGTCTGGAATTTAGTTTTGCCTTTAATGGCAGCATTTGGGAAAGGAGGGACAAGTTTCTCTGCACACTTYCAGGGCTGGGAAGTTGTGAACTAAAACTGTCCTATATTGGCAGATATAGATGAGTTTTCCAATCGCTGTACTTGTGAAAGGTTTTTTTCCCTAAAATTTAAAAAAAATCCTAAAATATTTTGAAATGTTTATATTAAAAATGTTAAAATCAAAAGTCACATCCATCTAAGTTAAAATTTGGGGAAACAAAAGCAGCTTCTCTCTCTTTAAAAAAAACACAAAACAAATTAAAAAAACACAACAACAACAAAAAAAAACAGATGTAACTAAGAAAAAAGCATGAAATATTCTTTCCAAAGGATGAATTGCAATCTGAGAGCATCTCATCAAAAATTCTCAATATAAATAATGGACTTTTATTGTTCATTTACTGCAAGGTTAGGCAGCCTGATATGATGGATGAAATGTCACCCTCCAACTAAACTTCGACAATCTATCATCAAAAGAATGGAAGTTTCAGTCCAAGAGTCAATAATCTTAAATGATAAAGTGCAAAATACTCCCCCGAGGTCGGATGTTCTTTTAGGGCCTGCACTCACCACACACTTCAGAAACGCTGCTGGGAGCAGCTTCGCCGGCCATCCCGGGAAGGTAGAAAACRCAGCTAGGAATTTCTACACCCATGATACAATAATAATCCAGAGGCACAAAACACAAGAAAGATTTTAATAAAGGTCTAATGTTAGGGGAAATTACACTTACAAATTCCTTTACCTTAACATCAAGACAATCAAGATTTTGTAGTAATTTTCCATTCACTAATCAGCTTTTAAGTGGTCAAATCAAGAACAAATTTCCTTTTTGTATCACAGATCTCAAAACTTAATATAAGCTTTTCCCAAACCTGACAAGAATATTCTTAACAGTGAATAAAAAATATTTATAGTTTACATTAAATGTAAAAGCAAATTAGTGCAATCAAGTCAGCAAAAATAGGCCATCTTGCCTTTAATGTTAGGATATGGTGTTAAAAATTGTGTCAACTTATTATTTTAGTCTCTACCACCACTAGTCTAACATCAGYACCTCATTCCTTTCTTCCTTAGTTATACATCTAATGTCACTTTTACAAAGTTACAGCACTCTTTCAAGTTTAAAATTCTCAAAAGTCTARTGCTGCAATAGAAAAAAAAACAGCATGCAAAGCACTTACTTGTCTTTTAGGAAAAATGGGAGTGCTAAATGGCAGCACAAAACAGTGTCTGTGCTGYGTAACCATTACTTTGGACCTATCCAAAGAGAAACTAAGAACAAAATTAGAARTTGGACAATTTTTAAATAAGACCACAGTGATATTAAATGGAAGAAACRCTTCCCTGGTTTTGAATTGCAAAGTTACATTTGCACTGAGGCTTAGAGATTCTCCAAGTTCTTTACAGATTGCTTTACAGATTGCTTAAAAACAAAGCAATACATTGTGACCATATTTCTGTTTCTTTTTTCCAAGTTACTGAGATTGTTTACAGAATCACAGAAGGGTTGAGGTTGGAAGGGAYCTCTAGAGATCATCTAGTCCTACTCCCCGCCCAGAGCATGTGGCACAGGCTGCATCCAGGCGAGTTCTATCCAGGCGAGTTCTGAAGATCTCTAGAGAAGGAGACTCCACAGCCTCCCTGGAYAGCCTGTGCCAGGGCTCTGTCACCCCCACAGTGAAGAAGTTCTTCCTCACAGATGGAACTGCCTGTGTTGCAACCTGAATCCACTGCCCCTTGTCCTATCACAGGCCACCACTGAGAAGAGTTTGGCCCCTTCCTCCCTACACTCTCCACTCAGGTATTTGATAAGATATTTGATAAGATCCCCTCTCAACCTTCTTTTCTCCAGGGAAAACAGACTCAACTCAAGTCTTTCCTCGTACGATAGCCGCTCCATTCCCTCAGTCGTCTTTGTTGCTTTCTGCTAGACCCTCTCTGGAAGCTCCACATCCCTCTTATATTGGGGAGCCCAGAACTGCACCCAATACTCCAGGTGTGGCCTCATCAGAGCTGAGTAGAGGGCCAGGATCACCTCCCTTGACCTGCTGGTAACACTAATTTATGCAGATTCACCTGAAGCCAGTTTATCCAAGTCAACCTGCTTCCTTGGATCAGTGCCCATAGGGAGAAGTCGTTAAAACATAGTACATATGTAAAAAGCAGACAGATTGATAAAAGCTGGAAGGAAAAGTATGACAGGCTCCTCCAGTGAGTTCCACTTAAATCTGGSCATTTAATCCACTCCCACCATTACACTACCTAAAAAAACGGCTGGCAGAATTCTAGTCTTCAACTTTCATCTTCAGCAGTGCCCACTGAGGGATGAAAAAGTAAYAGGCAAAAGCTGAAAAAAGCTTATCAGATCTCAACCTTCTCTTCTCCAGGCTGAACAGGCCCAGCTCTCTCAGCCTTTCCTCAYAGGGCAGATGCTCCAGGCCCCTGATCATCCCCCTCCACATCCCTCTTGTMCTGGGGAGCCCAGAACTGGACGCTGCCTCGTGAGGGTTGAGTAGAAGGGGATGATCACTTTCCTCGATCTGCTTCAGATACTCTTCTTAATGCACCTCAAAATCCCATTGGCCTTCTTGGCCACCAGGGCACACTGCTGCCTCATGGCCAACTTGTCATCCACCACAACGCCCAGGTGCCTCTCTGTGGGGCTACTCTCCAGAAGGTCAGTCCCCAGCCTGTCCTGGTGTCTGGGGTTATTCCTCCCCAAGTGCAGGCCCCTGCACTTGCCCTTGTTGAACTTCAGGAGGTTTCTCACTGCCCAGTTGTCCAGTCTGTCCAGGTCCTCTGGATGGCAGCACAGCCCTCAGGGCTATCAGCTACACCTCCCACGGTATCATCAGCAAACTTGCTGAGGGGGCAACTCCATCCTTTCATCCAGATTGCCCCTGGACTGAGGATTGACCCCTGGGGGACACTGCTAACTACAGGCCTCAATCAGGACTCAGTGCCACTGATCACAATGTAATTACAACGTACATTTTTTAACGTAAGCCATATATTAACTTGTATATAATAAATACAGGTAAAAAACCTGCTAACTACTAGCAGTTTAAGAGATTCAGATTTAAGAGAAGTATTTGTTTTGACTCCTTCAGTCTTGCATATGTTTAATATGTAAGATATTCTTTCCCTGGAGTCTCTTATTTTTATCTTCTTTTGAAAAGTTCCAAGAATTATAAGTATTTGGATCATTTCTAAATGTGACGGCAATAAAATATGTCTGAACGAAAAATTCGTATTTTGAATGCGACTGAGGACAGGAGAAAATATCAACAGTAACACCAACGGCAAGACCTTTTCCTTTTCCCATCTATCTGTATTATATCATAATACTGGAGGTTTACAATCACTCATCTTTACAAAAAAGGTTGCACACCTGTGTAAAGCAGAAAAACATTTCAAGGCAAAGGATTGATGATAAATGAAGCTTAATTAACTCACTGTCTGTTAGTCCAATGTGACACTGATCATACATAAAAGAAATTGTCTTACCGTACACCTTGTGCTCGTCGTAATTGTTAGAGTGAATTCCTCAGRGAATTCTAAATCTGGAATGGATGCAGCATTACAGTCGATACGCTATTGAAAGGAATAATACAATTCTGTCAATAAAACTCCGAAATTAAAATTAAGGTCTCCTGCTGGCTAAGCTTCCTAAAGTTGTTGAGATGCAACAAAAACACAGCTTTTCTAAGGCAGTACCAACTGAGCCCTTCAAAAATGGGGAGAAGAGCCCTAAACATGATCCAGTCATATCCACRGACAGACCAAACACCTACAACCACTCTTCCCCAAATAAGCAGACACTTTGACTGATAGTGGATTTGAAATAGAAATAGTATCTGAAATTCTTCATGATAGTTGCTCACTTCAGTAWCTAGATGTCAGTTCTTCAAATCTTCAACAGAATTTAGCTTACATAGTCACAATTTCTCAATTTACTTCTGAATTCCGGAAGCAATTTTGGCATCGAGACATCTTATCACCCCCCACATTTTTATCCTTCCCTGCTCTACTCCTTGCTCTTACAGCCATAGAGCGAGCCAGAGCTAATGTGGGTTAAAACTATCCTTTTTAGACTTGCCAAGTTAGGTGTTTATTGGTCATAGAATGGCTAAATTGAAAGGGTTTTCTGTAGATCGCACAGTTCAAWACTCAAAGCATGGTCAACTAAAGCAGGTTGCTGCCTCTCAAGGCAGAAACAGATACAAGGATAGAGACTCTGCAACCTCTCCGGGCAAACTTCCCCTATATTTACCTGCCCTCAGGGTTTAAACATAAGTTTTCTATGTTTAAACGGAAGTTCTTTCCTATATATTTCATGAATTTCCATTTGTGCCTATTCCCTGTCACTGGGCACCACTAGGAAGAGCTCGGTTCCATCCTGTTTACATCCTGCCATCAGCTACTTACGCACTGAYAGGATTCCCTTTGAGCTTTCTCTTCTCTGGGCTGAACAGTCCCAGCTCTCACAGCCTCGTCTCATATAACAGCTGATCCAATGTCTTACTCATCTCCAAGGCCCTTCTCTGGGCTTACTCCACTACGTCCACGTCTCTCTTGCACTGGAGAGCCCAGAACTGGACCCTGCGCTCCAGCTGTGATCTCAAARGAGTGCTGAGACCATGGGAAGCATCCTCCTTAGATCTGCTGGCAATGCTCTTCCTAACGCAGTCCAGGAGGCTGTTGGCCTTCCTTGCTGCAAGAGCAGATTGCTGCTTCACGTCCAGCTTGTCCATCAGACTCCCCCGGTCCTTGTCTGCAGAACTGCCATCGTCTTCCACCCGTGCATGCAACTTCTCCTCCCCAAGTGTTGGACTCTCCCTTTGCTGAACTGCCTAGGTTTCCTGTCTGCCCGTTTCTCCAGCTTTTCAAGGTACTTCAGGGGCAGACACAACCTTCTGGGCTATCCGTGTAAAACAAGACGGGGAAAAACAGAGGGGACAGAGGACAGCTGCTCTGGCAGAAGCTTTGCTGTCCAAGGCTCAAGCCCCAATAAATATTTGCGGAGAAAACGGCAAGCCACATCTCAACATTTTTATATTTCATGTTAAAGCACTTTACCACCCTTCATCACTGAATTATTTTAGTTTACATAGTCAAATAGCTAAAATGTTTAATCCCAGGACGTCTCACCAAAGTCAAACTAAACATCATATACATTTTATCATTACCATGTCTTTTCTTTCTCTAGGGAATAACATCCTGAAAAGTTACATYGCAGAATATCCCAAACAAGGAGCATCTCATCTGAATAAGCACACTGAACTATCTTCTGTACAAACAGATGATAAATTGGAACATATTAGAAGTTTCCCTCCAAATACAATCCATTTGTTATGTGGAGTGGTTATTGATTAAAACTATCTACCTATAACACTATTATTGCTCAGCTCATTAATTTTCATAGTTTGTACTGTAATTCTAGCAAATGAGCTCATGCCTTTGCTTTAGATTATTTTAAAATATATGATTCTTACAGAAACCAAGTACCTATAAAAACACCGAGCATAACAGGTTGCTGACCTGCTCCACGGTGACAAACTTTGCTGTGCACATATACCTGCACCAGGCTCACAACAGTATATATCTAAAAGGGGCATAAAGCATTACCTGGCAAGTACATATTTTATTAGTAGTAGTTGTACATTTTGTTTATAGACTGCATTGATAATGACAGTTATGATCCAATTTGTCCAACACTTTCCAGTTTAAAGTTGTTTTCTTTGGTTTATATATTCACCTAGCAAGTTAATATAGCTCAGCTCTTCCACACAGCTGATAATTTAGGGCATAAAAYGCTCTTCATTTTCTGTACACCAAATCAAATTAGTTGAACTAGTTGAAAGCAGTTGAATCAGAACATGAAAGAAAAAGTTAGGAAAAAGCAATATGTATTGGTGAAAAAAGTACTTATGCTTCACTAATTGCACAATCAAAACTGTAGACACCCAACTAACACAGTCTCAGTTTCTTGATTTTGGAATACCCATTTTCAGAGGCCAATAGCTACTTGAATTTACAAGAGAGAGTCCAGATTAATTCAGTAAGGGCAGAATTTATCTTACCTGCGTAAGTCTACAAAGTACTTTACAACATTTGAGTCGATCACTCTACCCTTTCCATATAATCAAAGGAACAGGGCTCCTTACGACCTAATATTTCAAGTCCCGTAGCATGCATTTCCTCCCACTATCTATAAAGGAGGTCTCGTCAGCTAGTTAAAATGATAGAATGTAAGGCACTGTTAATGACAGACACCCACACAGAGAAATTCTAAATATAGGTTCAGAGTACAAACAACGTGCAGGAAACAAGACTAAAAGCAAAATCTAGATCCTGAAAAATACTACATTTTTTTTCTTCAGGAATCCTGAAAAAAATCCCTTTAGGATTCTTTATTCCTTACTTATGATTTTAAAAGTCCTGAAAAAAAAAGAGAGATGCCTAAGACAACCAAATGAGTTATCCAAGTAAAAGAAATATCAGTGTTATTTCTTACATTTGAATGTTTGACTTCCAACTTAATCATTTTTACTCTTTTCTGGAATACGATCCTATACTGGAAAAAGTTTAAACAATAACGTGCATGAGGATAGACTGATTTAACACAAAACCGTACTTCCCCTGTTACTGCTTCTGTGGGTATTCTTACAAATGAACCCATATACAAACAGAAGTCCTGTTCATAGGGAAAAAGCTGCACTTCTTTTGCCTAAGACGAACTGCTATGAAAAAACAACACAGAAGAGTAAGCATAAAGATGAACTTGATTATTGTTGTTATTCCAGACCCAGGAGTCATTCTGTTTGATGAAGCTATGGGAAGGAAATGAACAATCCTCCAATAAAAGTTCTTTAAAAATCAGTCAACTTGGCACCGAAATACGTAATCCTTACTGGAACTCAGTATTCTGGCTCAGGAGGAGAGGGAAGGAAAGTAGGGCAGACTGTATGCTCCAGACCTTTTCTGTAGTAATTTCAATTATGCATCATGCAAGTCACCAAAAATCAGGTACACATTTGGYTTTGGATAGAAAAAAATAACCTAGGAGAGACACGTTAGAGAAAAAAAATCTTTTTCTTTAGGAAATAAATCTTGGTTAAAAAGCAACAAATAGAATTTAAAGTATTCACATTGAGAACCTGACTGAATTTGTTTCACTTAGAAGATGCTCAAGTTAAACACATTTTCTCAGTACTAAAGAAGCATGCATTTTAGACACGGAATGAAAAAAATAATAAAAGTAATCTTTAAAAATCTTGCTACTATCAATTTTAAAAACATAGTACCTTAATGACACTAGCTGTAGAGATAATTGTGTTTGGATCCAGCACCTCCACAACAGCTTCTGGAATTACTGCCTTCTTCATGCAAGACATGTCAAAGCCATAGACATCTTCCCAGAAAACTAGCTTGTCCATATGTTTATCCATATCACCCACAGCTAGCAGACTAATGGTGCACATGTCAGGATAAACTGTAACAACAASAAACAGATTAGCAAAATTTTCTTCTGGACATGCCTAAGGAAAGATTTAAGACTTTTTTGTTTTTAAGTGATTAACATCTTAAAAGAACAAATAAAAGAACTTATTTCTGCTCTTATAAAAGACAACTACTTTATTTTCTGGAGTTCCATAACAGACATCAGACATTGACATCTAATTTTTGCACACTACTCTGGTAATAGTATTACTGTTCATGAAAAGGTGTGACATCAGTTGAATCCCATCGCCTGGAACATGACCACAAACTTGCTGCTTAACMAACAATTTCAAGCATCCTCTTCTGGCTTTACTACAGAGATGGCCTTAAGCTGCTTGCCAGACACCCCAAGGAAAATCCAGGTGAGAGTTTCGGAATAACAAGCAATTGTTACAAGAAGACCTTATTCCAGAAACAATCAAATAATCTTCGTCAAGTGCCTGATTCTCATCAGCTCCGACTGATAATATTGGTCAGGYTGAATTCAGAACTGCCACTGTCAGCCATCACCTCCATATTATAGATGAGAACCTCAAACCAGCAGGCTTTCCTAGGGAATAACCTACAATTAAGAGTAAAAAGSTAATTTGATGAGAATCAAAACAGGTAGGCAGCCACACTGTCTTGTTTGCAATCACTTGGTTCCAGCACACCTGACAGCTACTAACAGCAGCAATCAATATCTGGGGTATTAGTATTCGCAAGCAGCTTCTGGAGCCATCAGTAAGGATTTCCAGTTTCTCACAGTCCCGTTGCTGTTCCCTAGCTTGACAACTGCACTATATTAGGTTTTATCTCCCAGCACTGTAAACCTTCAAGAGCCACCAGAAATTAAGACAGGCAACAGCAGCAAACAGCTGCAGCCTTTAAAAGAGTATTTTTCATGGAAATGCTCTTGGCGGCAAAGGGATTAGATTAAAAAAAAAAAAGACCTAAGTGGCCCTAGTGTTAAAATTTCCACAAACATGCTGGCACGACAATGGGGGTGAAACTGCAAAAGGCAATGGAAAGGAAGTGAAATAATATTTTATAACATTCCTTCCAYAGAACAGCTCACATTTCTGAGACATTCTTGATCATCAGGGAGTTGTTCGTATGTCTGTCAAGGAGGAAGCACTAGAYATCTGAGAGTGACTTAAATTAGTTTTTATTCAGTCTTATGGTCCAGATGCCAAATTCTTGAAATAGTGAAACATATGATTGATTGCATGAAGTATTTAATAACAAGCAAAAGATAAGTGCTAAAGCCCAGTTTTCTCCTTCATTTTTGTTTAGCCTACTGAAAAGAGCAAAAAAAAAAAAAAAAAAGCGTGTGTTCTGACTTCAGAAACAGAAACGCAAAATCTACAACCAACAGTATATCAAATTCTAAATTTATAGACCCAACTATACCTAGAAATCTACATCATATTCTTTTTGACTATAATGTAGATATGTTGATCTAAATATCTGTCAGAACCATCTAAATACAGCAGCATTTTGTATTTTTGGCGGGGGGGGGAATAAAATACTTTAAAATGCATTTTTCATTTCAGTCCTTGCTTCTCCAAAACCAAACCCTCTATTCTTTCAACCCACTTGTCCTGACAAACCTGTCTTTTTTTTTTTTTCCGATTAAAGCTGTAATTAAATAACTATTCCTTCTCACAGGCTAAATGAAAAAAATGCTGATTGGGCAAAAGCACGTGCTCAGCAATGCTTTCACTGATTCACGGGTTTGACATCTGCGTCCTTCTCGACTCAGTGCCCAGGAAACATTTGTCACCAGCAACAGCTCACGTGGTAACCAGAAGAAGATGGGAAATCCATTACCCCTTAGGAATGCCTCAAGCTTCAGGACCAAGGGGTTAGAAAGCAAGCCTCTGGATACACAGAAATAACTCCATGGTGAATCCTGGCACTATTTTGATGTAAGCAAGCAAAAAACAGTTATGTTTTGAGTGATACCTTCCTTACCTACGTGATCTTCTGCTGACATCAGCAACCAAGTACTACTTCCAAAGAAAGAATCAGGTGGGTTCTGGGTGGGTTTATGCTCCCAAATAAAACTGTTATATAATATTCACATTACACTACACATTTTGGCATCATCCACTCCATGATGCCAATAGGAGCTACAACATGATGGACCGGGCACGAATATGGATATTTAGATTCTCTTCCCAGCTCACTCACTGAAAGGTTTGTGCAAAGCAAAGCAGCTTCTCTTGATTTTTTCAGTTTTCAAGCGGTCCCTAGTATGAGACAGTATAAAGTGGCTTGTGACAATATTAAACTTCACAGCAGATTCGGGAGTTTCTCTGTTAAGGCAGACTTCACCTCAGAATGAGCTGCTAGATTTGACTCAGCAGGATTTGGACATGCCCACAGATCTGACGCTATTCATATACACCCTAAAAGCCTCTGTCTGACTAAATTTAAACTGGTCCTTGGGCAATTCTGGCAGGAGCCTCAGGGACAGCCATTTACCTGCTATGCAAGCTGGAACAAAAGTAGCAATTGCAAGCATCTTCAAAAAATAGTTACTGTGTGCTCAGGAAGGGCAGAGGGGCAGGGAAAAGAAAAAAAGAAAGAAAACAAAAGGATTATACGATTCACAGAGCACAAATGGTTAAATAATGCTGCAGAGCCAGCACATCAGCACATTGTTCCTCGGCAGAGAAAATAAACCAGAGAAAACCAACTGAGCTCATGCCTACATACGTATTGCAGCAAACCTGCAACGCTGCCAAAAGAGCCTACGAGCACAAGCKCTAGCTCTAGTTTCAATGGAAGTTTAAAAAAACAGCCAAAGAAAGCTAACTAAACATAAAATGCCTCCTTACAATGTCACAGGGTGGCCCCCTTAATAGTTACACGGGGATGTATACTTACGAGCATCTACCTACCCAGAGCACACCAAAGCTGCACGCTGGATGCCACTACATTATTCTAAACTCCTGAAAGCAAAACACTCCCATCACGTTGCTCAAGGACGTTTCCAAGTATTTTAACACGCAAACAGTGGTATTTTGCTTGCGTATTTAGCTTTACAAGCAAATGGTGAACAACTGGATCTTTTTTTCCTGCTGCACTGTGGCACCCCCAGCTCGCCGCAGTCACAGGGAACTGCACTGCAGCAAGCGCTGTTACACAGTCGTTAATCCCATCATTAAGGCAGCCTAGTGAAACTAACTATGTGCGTGGTTAGCACAAAGGAGCAAAAAAACCCACCCTGGACTACGACTGGAAAGGTCAATGGGAAATACAACCCTGACAGAGGAATTAAGCAAAACAAAAACCTACGCAGACGCAGTGCAGAAAATAGCATCATGTGAGTAATAATTACAGGCTTAAGATGAAGCTAAGCTACTTACGGGTAAAACAAACTATTAGAAAGTTAAAGTTTCGTTGTCACTTCTCTACCCTCCAACCATGGAGAGAAAGGTTCTATTCCTATRGGGATAGAACAACTACGCTGAGCCTGAGCCATGTAATTCCCTTCATCAATGCACATGGCTTCCTGCATTTGAATTAATACGTCCTCCACACGCATCTTCTCTCCCAGTTAAAAGCACCCRGTCTGTTTTTCTTCCCATTCCTCTGTTTCTACAGGATCTTCCTCAAATAATATCAGAGCTGGAATGGATAAAAGTTGTTTTCCTTTCCCTTTCTTTGGCCAATTTAGGTATTTCATATCCTAACCCAATGTTTTAGAGCACAGCATCCATTTACAATGCAAGTGATTTTACGGAAAGCTATTTGCCAGCAATATTAGCTCTGGAGTTTAAATTATTTTCTTCTATCAACCCTTAAAATATATTTAAAGAAAAAAAATCACATAACTGTTTTCATTTAATGGTAAAATCCTCCTCCTATCTTGAACAATACCCATTTCCACCACTCACCAGTTAGAATATATAAAAGACTTACTAAAATTTTTAAAATGTTGGTACTTTGGAATTGGAAAGAAATATCCAGAATTCACAGGTCAGGATTTTAAGCCAAAATCTATATTCTAATTCTAAATAAAGTACACTATCCAACTTACTAGTTCAGAAACAGTACTTTGGGGAGAAACAATATATTCTGGAGGACATACTTAACGTTGGTGACCATCAGCAATGAAACAAAGTAGAACTACACGCAGATCTGAGTCCATTTCAGCACGTGCGTAATTCCATTTAAGCTTCTTCCGAAGCATTCGCACTCCCCATATCTAACTAATTTTAACTCTATCAATGCAATCCAAGATCACAACCACCATGTCAATGACTCGTCARCGCAAACCTTCCTTCAGATTTTCTTCTGGATTCTCTGGATGACGCCTAGGATGCACAAGCATGACATGCTGCACAAGCGGGTGSAAACACATGTTTCACCAAGCACACATGGGGCTTAAGTGAATGAAATAAAGAGTGAAGTTGGCTTCCTGATGGTACCCAAGCCTGCCAAAGCATCTGGAAGACTTGAGTACGCAAGGAAATGCACACAAGTGCACGAATTACTAAGTTATAACACTCCAGCAGGTAAATAAAAGCCTGCCTGAGGAAAACAAGGGATGCAATACTGACGTTTTCAAACGTGCAGTGAGGTGGTGTGAGACAACTGTGATAGGCAGCTCAGCTTCTACTACTCCCTGTTCAGTCCTTTGACCGAAGAGATTAACTTGATTCATACATGGATTCGCTGTGGGCAGCTGCTTTCTGAACTGATGTTTAAAAATCTACACTAAAACACCATTTCAAGCACTGGGAGAAAAAAAGCAGCGGGGTGTCTGGGGGTGAAGCAGAATTGAAGCTTTTCTGAGAACTGCTGTGTAGCCCTGCAGATTTTGAAAGGTTTGAAAACCAGCACTGTAGTTTGGTTAAAAGAATTCTAGAAATCCTAGAACAGAATCCTAGAACAGAAATCTAGAAATGGTCCAGGTAGGAAAGACACACTCTCTTTCAATCGATAAGAGGACCTAGGAAGAATATATTYAGCATTCCATATATTACTAGCTGAAAATTAAGTAATAATACTTTGGGTTAACATCCTAACTACTTAGGAAAGACTACTTAGTTAAAAACTACTTAGTTAAGAAAAATAATGTCTTGGAAAACAAGCATTTATTTTTAAATGTGMAGTTTCTCCATTTATTGCTGGAGATTTTTCTTTGGCGGCAGGGAGGGGGAGAAAACTGTGGGAAGAAGTAGTGAAGATATTGAAACTGCAGTTCAAAATAAACAAGAAACCCTTTATTCTTAAAAATATTGCCATCTTGAAACCTAGATACCCCAGCTAGTGCTCTTCTAGTACCCATAGARCAAATTAATGCCTTGAAGCTCCCACTAATGGAAACATACTTCATTTAGACTGGCAMCTTCCTCATCCATGCATAGCTTATTTTAAGTCCCTCTGTTCATTTAGTTTTCCCCCAGAGCTAAATTTATTAAAAAGAATTATGCACACCAACCTGAGCCTCCCTCTGCCAGGTACTTGTCCTTTGCATAAATAACAGAATCCAGCATAGACTCAAAGAGAAGGAAATAACCCTGTAACAGAAGAGTGAAAGAGCAAGAATTGATAAATTTTTTTTTTTTTTTTTTTTTTTTTTTTAAATTCATGCAATATATCTAATCAATCTACAGGTAAACTTTATCCATTCCTTTTTTTGTCTCAAAAGCTTCATACAATTAAATATAAGAGAGTTTAAGAAGTTATTTGCCTGTAAATCCTAGTAAGAGCCAGCGCCTAATGAATTTCATTTGAAGCTGACAACTGCTAATGCAGCTTATATATACACACAYATATATATATAYAYACATACACGCACACTTCTTAGCTGTGTATACATATAGCGTGTAAAAGGAAGTGTGTGGGTATATGGTAACTATGTTATACAATTGATACAGCTAAGAGATTTGACTCGGCACTTTGCATGGAAAAACAAACTGTAATGCATAACTCTGTAAGCCTAACTCCCCTGTTAAGACATTTATAAAATATAATATATTAGCAGATAGCAAGTTAAGAGACATTTTTAAGAGTCTTCATCTTCCTGCCTAAAACGCCCGTCATTGACCACATTTGCCAAACGAGGCTAGGTAGTACAGACCAAACACAAAGCTTCTAACCAAAAATATCGCCGAATTCCCGTGCTCCTTCGCTGGCCTTCCACTTTGGCACTTCGGGTTGTTTTCACTCCTCAATCCTACACTCCCCTCAGTGCTCTGCACCGCTCCTGTAAGTTATATAAACTGTCGCTGGTAGTGAATTAAGTCATTTATTACCTACACCAAAACGTTTTGCTCTCTGCGCTGTGCTCATCTGCAGTGTAATTTAGAAGGTAATTTCACAGGCTGCTGCCTCACCTGTAGGGGTGCCATCTGGAAAGAGAATTAGACCTGATGTCTTCCCCCCGTTATGCTACGGGGCACTCTTACCTTCCCACCAACAATGCTCTGAGTTCTGGGTTTTCTTCAGTGTGTATTAGCACCCGCAAAATTAGCTACTGTGAAGAGATGTCTATCACACAAGCTTGCAAGCAGAATCGTCCCAGACCCGCCTTGCTAAAGGCTAAACTCAAATGCGTAAAAGACAGCATGTTCTCAGGGAAAGACAAAGTCGTTGCGTGGTGCACCTCAATGTTACGCTGTCATATAATGCATKTTCTATGGAAAAGCTGACTGCTTCTCCCTACAAAGGGAACAAAWGGTTTCTCACTTCTATATTTTCAAAACTTAAGGTATGTGGAATATTCTCCAGCTGCCAAAARAGACATATTCAAATAATAATAAAATGCGCAGAAGTCAGAGGCCTTTAAAGCTTATGTTCTAGATGTGATCTGTCCAAAGAACGAGCGATATAAAATACCCATATGAGTGATAAATCCGCAATCCGAGGAATGTGAATACCATTACGCATCCCTATTTCTGCTTTTTTAAAATTTTCTTTCTTTTTTTTTTATAGTATTGTAAAAGGTTCACATATCTTTTCTGGCTTCACATCGTGCATTGTTATTTTATTTCTATTATTTAAATAAACTACTCCATTGCAAAGCAGTTATTTTAATTCAGAAACCACACAGAAGCATTTACAAAGGCAGAAAAACCTACATATAGGAAGAACTTCTAACATGAGCACTTTAGTATYCAGCATAATATTCCTCTACTTTTCTGTAAAGAAGTTAATGTATTCAGTTATTTAAGAATGCTCTCTACACAGCATTAAAAAAGTAGAAATACCTCAATTCCTACATAAAATATTTTACTGTGTTATAAAAACACATTGACTGCACCTCCCAATATTAATGGTAGTGCTATAGAAGGTCAAGACTGAAGAGAAAATTGTAAATAAGTGTTAAAAAGCCATCACTGCATTCTATCCATCATGGAAATATGAGAGGAAGGGTGGAGAGGAAAGACTGTTTGCATTATATATATATATATATTTATGTATATTTTAGATATATGACATATACATATATATACCTGCTGCTTTATATATATTATATATAAAATAGGTATAAATAAAATAAGTATAAATGATATATATATTTTCTTCTTCCTGAACAGCAGGAATAACTTCCAACCCATCAAGATATCATCTCAAAATTATCCAGTTAAAAAAAAAAGGTCTTTTCAAGCAAACTCAAGTTAATTAGATATTCTTAGCTACATAAGAGGGGAAAAAACAAACCCCTACATAGATACCTCAGTAAATAATTAGAAAATTCTGGAAAAAAAAAAAAAACCATACATATGATAGAACAACCACCTTGGCACACTGAGCGGTAAAAACTTTCTCCTGATGTGGTACAAATTGAATAATTCCACTCAACACCCGTTTCAGCACTTTGCTGAGCAGCTCTCCATTCATACTTAAGTACTGTATGTAGAATTGCTTTAATTACTGTAAAACATCCTTGCTGCTTTAAATTGTGTACCTCCAGGGAGGGGGCGTAAGTGTGAAACGGCCTGTGAACAAGTCTACTGTACGCCCAATTCACGCTAACACAAGTACTTCCCCACTAATCATACAGGCAACACAGCATTCCAGTCAAAATTCCAGATTTTGCACATTTGCAAGCCATTTGCAGACTGAATCACTACGTGAGAAAGCATCCTATTCCTTACACAAAGGCAAAAAAACCAAATTACTGATGTGTATTCAGAACTGCATTTGCATCAGATTGCCATTAGGCAGGATATATAAATATTTGTTTCTTTTTATTTGTACCTTTGCTTATAAACACAACTCATTTAATTCTATAATTTGAATTTTAAAAAAAGTAACATTTGCTTGAGTTTTCCCACAATACAAACAAGCTTTTATTTATTTATTATTATTAATTCCAAAGGTTGGTGCCTGAGACTGCTAACAATAACTGAAAGCTCCATTAGGGCTTTCAAGCGTTTCAYACATTTTCCCTCAGTGTCACCAAGCAGGATGACACCTCAGAAGACTACAGTCCTGCTACAAAGTAAGGACAGGAAGCCTCCAGAAACCTCCACAAACCAGGCCAGCAGTGACATCCAGGATGTCATCTACGATGCCTCTGGTTAGCAAAACACTTACAGAAGCAGGAGAATGATCCTCAGAAATCATTTGGACTTAAATACAGTTGTATACAAAACAGACGGAAGCAATGATTCCACAAAGGGGTTGATGCTTACTAGCAGCSAGTAAAAAATTGTTACTAGTAAAAAGCAGTCTGTTTTCTAGCAAAATTCAGAATATTTTTCTCRCTTTGTTGTAAAAGTCACTGCTCCCATTGGAATTTGCCTGCTGGTCCATACGGTTGTTCTCAATGAAGAACTGAAAGTGGACAAATATCGGGTTCTTTTTGGTGCCCATGCTTAGCACTTAACAACACTTTCMATCAAGTGATCAATCAATTTTTAAGCATGCGTTTTCTCCTATTAAGAAGGGACTTCACTCCAGTCCACATCATACAGGAAAGGAGAAGGAAAAAAAAAAAAAAAAAATCAAATTCACCCACTAGTGACAGTGGACAACACTAGAAACCCAGACAAAGATAAATGATTTGCACCTAGACAAAATCCTGCTTTTCTCGGGCTGTGCCAGAACAGTTTGTCCCGCTATTAATCTTACTTCCATTGCACTGTCCTCTTTATCTCTGTATTGCAGCAACCTATAAAAATGCTAACATTCCTAATTAATAATTCTTAATATTTAAAAGTCCTAATTATGCAGAATGTTCTTGGTTATATAATTAAGATATTTAAAGGTAAATTACTACAGAAATCGGGAATGTTAAATACTTCATTTTTTACATGAACTGCTTCTCAAAATCCTTTATTTAATCATAATAGACACTGATTTACAATGTATCTTAAGCTCTTAAAAGCTTTAAAACCAGACCTTGAGCTCCTGAATAAGAAAGATGTTTTGGAGACCATAATTCTCGTTGCACATATTAGGCAACTGATGAGAAATTTCTCTGCAAGAACTACATTTCAAAAGCAAAGTCGCTATGCTCTCTGAAATCACCAAGCATAATGGCACTGTTTTTAAACAACCAGTGTCAATGACTGAAACTTGCTTTGAAACTGATTAATTCAGGAGTAAAGATCAAGTTCATACTTCAAATAAGATGCCTTAGACAACTAAGACATAACATTTGTACATTTCCATCAATCTGAAATATGTAATATAAAAATCATAGAAGAAACAAAGCTAAAAAAAATTCTACATTTACCTGGCAATTAATTGGATACATATGGATTCCTAGTGCATATGATCTAAAGGGCTCCCAGACTGCTGAACACCCAGAATTTGTCAAAAACAAAGTAACTTCAAATGCAAGTTTTCACTGTTGATCTTGAAGAAATTTTCTGCAACCATTCTGTGATTCTGTGCAAGTTTTCTACGTAGAATGCACATGGGATAGGGATCTGGGACAYAGGCACAAGCTGAATAGGAAGAGTCAAAAGGTGTTTCCTCTCACACTTTCTAGGGACCAGACTTATTTGGCAGCTCTGAGCTTCAGTCCAACACTTGGATTGCTTTATTCAAACCGTATGGCAGGTAACAAGCATAACCGTGTAACAGCCAACATACAAAAGGCAGACACAGAATCACAGAATGGTTAAGGTTGGAAGGGACCTCGAGAGATCATCTAGTCCAACATTCCTGCTCAAGCAGGGCCACTCAGAGCACGGGGCACAGGATGCATCCAGGCGGGTTTTGAAGACCTCCAGAGAAGGAGACTCCACAGCCTCCCTGGGCAGCCTGTTCCAGGTCTCTGTCACCCTCAYGGTCAAGAAGTTCCTCCTCATAYRGAGATGGARCTGCCTGTGTTGCAACTTAAGACYCATTASCCCTTRTCCTGTCGCTGGCCACCACTGAGAAGAGCTTGGCCCTTTCCTCCTTACATTTCCCCTTCATGTACAGGCCCAACTCAGTCTCTCCTCRTACGAGAGATGTTCCAGTCCCTTAATCATCTCTGTAGCTCTCTGGACCCTCTCTAGAAGCTTCACGTTCCTCTTATACTGGGGAGCCTAGAACTGCACACAGTACTCTAGGCTCCCCAGTAYAAGAGGGACGTGGAGCTTCTAGAGAGGGTCCAATTGTCCACTGTYAAAAACAATCGCTTTCAGGCAATAATGGCTCATTTACATTCTCTATCATACATTTCCTTTGGGCTATTATCTTTATTACACAGTTTCAAATCAGTTGTTTTATTTTTACRGTAGAAAAAAAATCATCAATAGTAACATATAACTGCATCTTCACACGTATAATTAGCAATCTTGAAGACTAGAAAAACTGATTTTTGCTAGTTTGCTAATTAAATATATGAAGATGCAGACACAGACTCCCCAGTCGCAGGCTCCTCACCTCCAGTACCACCATTCTTGCTTAGTCATGATGGTCTTTAGTCATCTTCATGGACTAAAGCAATTTGATCTACTGGAGCAATCTAGTTAAGTGACCGGTACAGTTTCTTTAATACTAGAGCTGCTCAGCCAAAAGCACCATTTTTCAAGGATTAAAAACTGCACCTGACTGTACTTGAAACAACATGAACAAGAGGGAACAGAAACTACTTTGGAGTAGCATCTACAGGACTGTCATCACATCTCCCGTGTTTTTAAAAAATGCTTCTGCAAGCAGAACAAATTTTTRGTAGAAGTAGCAGCACTCTAATAGTTTTTCAAATGAAATACAGTACTGCATTTTTCCCCCCGAAAGTAACTGTTTTGTAAAGAATATTCATGCATCTTACCATCCACTCAGATATAATTACATCCACTTTTTCCAAAGGCAGGTCTACTTCTTCAATTCTTCCTTTGACTAATGTAATGATATTCTCAAGTTTATTTAACCTGAAAGTCACAATTTAAACAAGTTAGTTTGTATTTCCGTTTTACTGTTAGCAGAAATATATTAATGTTTACATTTGTTCTCCTTCCCCAAGACGTTCCATTTAAAAAAAACGATCTAAGAAAATCAAAAGCAACAAAAACACCCCCCTAATCTAGATAGCACTACAATATTTCTCAGTTACATTTCAGAGGGAACATTCTCACATTTCCAAAAACTGCAGCAGCTTAACTGTGAGGCAAACGTGGCAGGCAGTAGATCTGTACATCTCTGATGTGCTGTGCATGCAAATGTGTAGACAGCAGAACATGAAGGTAGAAGGCAATTTAAAATGCCTCTCCTCCTTATTTAGAGTTGCTAGTTCCCAGTTCTCCTTCTTTGACCCTTCCAGAGCAAGTCTACAGTGATTAGAGTCAACTCATCACACTAGGATAGCGATGGAAATTAGCTTCCTTACAAAGATGTTTTGCACGATTTGTTTTTTTATKAAACAAAACCAGCTGCAAAGTCACAGAGAACAAATGTTCCCTTYAGATCAGTATTACAGTTATTCCATTATAAAGGCACGTTCCCCGTTGTGCCTCTAGCCAAAGTCATCCGCAATGGTTAGTAACAGCAATAATCTGATTTAATCTCTTATGCAAGATATAATATGAACAAATCTGCCTAAGGAGCAAGATGCTACGATGTGGCTACGTTTTTTGGGTTTTTTTTTTTTTTTTTGAAATAAAAACTACATGAAAACGAAACAGCTAAATGCTGGAGTGCCTGTAACAGTTCTCTCTTGATAAACCATATCAATCTTTTTTGCACATGCCACTATCACAATAGCTATTGTGAGAGAGGGCAGAGTAAGTATTCCCAAAGAAATTTCTCTCTCCATTATAGCTCTTATCACTACCTCCTCTCTCCCACCCTGATATCTTACTCTCACAATCTGTCTGACTTTCAGCGCAGACCAGTAATCACATTAAAAATTCAATCTCAAAGACAATGGGAGAAAGATCTGAATGAAGGGAGGGAAAGGGAAAGGGCCACCTGAACATGTGGGTTGTTGGAAAGATCAATTAAATATTCTCTACACACAACAGTCTTCTGTTAAAGCAGGAACAATTCATCACGAGCATCATATCTAATGCGATGAACAGAAGTCTTTTTGCTACTGGAATATATACACCATAATTTTAAGACAGACAAAAAAAGGTAACTTTTACCCTTTACTATTCTGTGAGAGTTTACACGGTGCACAGCATGGGAATTGGGAATTCTCCTGGAAACAACTTTTCTCAATGGCTATACAGAGTGTGTGTGTTCACGCATGTGTATGTATGCACGCACATATTCACATGCTTATTTTTTTAATGCATAAACACATTACAGTGCAATGGTAATCACTTTCCAACTAGCATGAAAATTGACAGTACACTTCTTTCTCTATTAAAGAAACAAAATATAGGCATAAGCAAAGAGAGAACCTTTTATATGTAACAGTGTTCAGAAACTAGACTAGAGAATGCTTGAATGACTAGAAGTAAAATGCTAAAATGACTAGAAGTTAACATCRTGTAATTATAAAACCTATCAGTCAGCAAAGTTAAATTTCATTTAAAAAATGAATATAAAAATAATAAAAAAAAMCAACCATCAAAACACACAATTCTAACATGGAAACCTAYAAAAAAATCTAGAAAACTGAATAACTTTCACCGGATTCATCTTAATGAGAACTTGAAGTTTCAGTCACATCTTCTAGGAAAAGGTCTGCATTGTAAATTTGTGGCCTCAAAATTTACAACCTTTATCTCCTCTTCTAAGTTCTACCAGTAGGAACATCTGTAAGAACAGACAAAGCACTGGGAACAGTCATTCTGCAGCATGGCACCACTGGCCTGCACACCAGAATCAAATGGAAGGCCTGGGAAATATTTTGCCTTAATTAGAGACCTGTTTAAATTGCCTCCATCAGTACAGCGTTCAAAATGACTGCTCAACAAAATCTGTGTTAGGGAATGTATTATTTCATATGACATCAGCAAAAGAAAGTGTTAGCTGATCATTAACTAGGATTAYTTAAAAAAATCAACTATTTAAAGCAATATTAATTTAGCATAATATGTTCTGAACATTCCCACCTAATGATGTCCATTGCTTGATAAATAATTTCAGATTGGTCAACTCCAATCACTTGCTTTGCACCTGCTTTTGCAGCAAACATGGAGAGTATTCCAGTTCCACAGCCAACATCCAAAACTACCTGAAACGAGTAAGACAGATTTATTTCTACCTCGGTTTATTTCCCTAAGATTCTTCTACATATCTTTTAATACAGAGCTATACCCTATTGTAACAGGAAAAAAAACCAAAAGGTAGCAGCAAAACTTACCATTATGTCCAAAGTTATCCACAAGTCAAACTATATRTAACTCCAAATACTTTACTGCCTTTTACAAAAAAACAGTGAAGCAGACTAGCTCGAGGTACATATGATTTTAATCACATGGGGAAGAAAAATAATAAAAGCAACTATTTGGGCAACTACTAAAATGTTTTACGTATAAGAAAGATCACAAGCCAGAGCCTGAAAAAAAAACAGTATCAGTGAATCACTCAAGCTAACAATTAAAATCAAAYAATTATTTGGGAGGAACTGCAAGTGGACAGGGATGAGGAATATTTCTTCCTATCTACTGGTCCTGAACAAAATCTACACATTTTCATTTTATGTTCTTTGTAAAGAATTCGGGAACCCTCTGTTAGAAATGGGCACAGTACCTCATAACCAGCTATGGTTCAGATGATTAAATTGCGAAGTAGTAGCTTGTAGAGTTTTAACACTTGAAAATAGGAAGCTGAGAGCTCTCTTTCCCACAAGAACACATTGCTGGCTCACACCCAGTTTGTCCATCGAAAACCCCAGGTCCTTGTCTGCAGAGCTGCTTCCCAGATGGTTGGCCATGGTCCTGTATCAGCAGACAAGGCCTGTCCTCCCCAGGTGCAGCACTCTGCATTTCCCTTTGCTGAACTGCCTGGATTTCCCGCTAGCCTTTTTCTCCAGCCTGTCAAGGTCCCTCTGAACAGCAGATCACTGTAGAATCAAACCCATAAACTACTGACAGAATCAAATCTGACAAAGCACTTCCATGCAATAGTRTACTCAGCTGATAAACTTTCCAGCCTATGAGCTATTCAGCAGTCCTGCTTTGGCACAACAGGAACCTGCAGGTGCACTTTTAAATTTCATCTGATTTACTGCATCAGTCTAAGTATCTGAATGCTCTGCACGAGGCATGCTTACCTACAGCTGTATACATTTTGAYGATGGATGCTGCACAAAGATACTCAAACCAGTATGACTAAAAAAGCAGCAGCACAGTACAAGCTAGCCTGCATTGTGCTGGAGAAGCCACTTGTACAGAGAAGCAAGTTGACTGCATTCACGGAGTAATTTACAATCCGGAATCAGACTTAAAAAGCGTAACACTTTCTTTCTACATGTTGCAAGAAGGTATAAACATGATAAGAGAAGTTCCAGCCATGGAGGTACTTGTTCCACTTGAACTCTCCACAGCTACATCGCAGTAGGAGTCAATTCTTTGACCCCTTTGCAATGAGATTTTTGTGTGTAGCAGCTACAGTCCCTAGGCTGGAGGCAGAAATAGGAAATAAAAGCCAGGGCTCCTGCAGCTGCTGAAATCTCATGCCCGCTCAGCGTCATCTATTCTAACACCGTACCCATGATAGTTAACAGAATTGCTGAGCCATGAAAGCTGGAAGTCAGAGCCAAAAATAAACCTCTGCAAAAGATCGATTTTGACGTACAGTTGCTCAAAGTAGAGCAATCACCACAAATGAGAAAAAAATTAAAACAGACACCACTTTGGACAACTGCCCTGGTCTCTTAAAAACCCAGATGGAACTCATCTAACCTTAGGCAGGAGATACGGGTGGCCAGGAAGGCAGGGGAGGAAAAGCATACAAGCTGGCACACCTTTGAGAAACGGCAAGACAAGCAGAATGCTCCCCAATTAGCCCAAGGATAAAGGTCTGCGGCTAGCACGTTCTTGCAGTGATCACATATGGCCGCTCACCAGAGCTCTGGAGAGCAGCTGGGCTGGAGAACTGGCCGTATCGCAGTACATGGCAGCATCACATCCTCCCCTACTGCAGTCAAAGCGACACCGATACTCTGCTTTTGGTAATTGTGAAACACACAAACAAACCCCTTAAAATCCACGAAAGCAAGAGACACGTAATTCAACCAAATCAATCTACTCTATAAATGAATTTTTATTATGTAATTTTTTTTTTTCCCTTCTCAACATGGCATTGATGCCTACCTCAGATTTCCACTTTAAAATAAACACTCGGACAATAGTGATATTGCCTTCCTAACCAACTATTCTTTCCAATCAAAATAAATAAATATTTTTTTAAAAAAAATCAGAACTTCATTTTTGCCATAAAATGGATTTTTTCTTGAGCAAGACCACTTTAACCTATTTTGCTAGGTAATCCAAATTGTCCTGTTTCCCCTCTCAAGCTTCTGAGAGGGTTCATAACCAAGTGGTTCACAACAAAAGCAGTAAGCAGAATTTATTCTAGTTTTTAATCATTTACTTTGAAAGCTGAGAGCTAAAGAAAAAACACAGTTGGTCCTGCATAAAGTATATAGAACAAACAAATCTAGTACTCCATTGTCATCCATTCTGTACAACTGGAGTTCTCTGGGTAAATTTTCATTAAAAGCTAGTAAGAACCTCTTTCAACCCTTTTCCTCCCTCCCAACCTGTTCACAGTTGTCATTTTAGAAACAACAACAAAAACCACTGTATTTTCTAAGGAGAAATACAATACAGGCTTCTAGAAACTCCCATATGAAACGCTACAGGAATCTAGGAAACACAATATTTGAATATTCTTCTTATTCATAATTTAATCTTCTTTTATTGTAAGCAGACTTGAACGGAATTTAGTCCACTTTTTTCAGCTTTGAAGTTTCACTTATGAATAAGGCTATGAAAGCCTTATGTTACACATAATTCAAGCAAAACATAAAAACAGCCGGGGCTTTGAATAGGTCACTTGCACCCTTGTTTTGAATGTCTATCAAAATGTTCACATAACAGAGGAGAAATATAATCAATATCTGAAAAATTACTGTTTCATTCCATAGTACATTCCATGTAAGTTAAGTCTTGCCCTGCAAAAACCTCTAGTTACGGGTTTAAGAGCATCTGTGAAAATATCTTTCTACAACACACAATGAGATCTTTCACATTTTTCCATGGCTGGCAGCATGTTTCTAAGACGCTTTGGCTAATTCCCTCATTATAACCAGAGGTTTGGGAATCCATAACAGAAACACTTTTGTGACGAGGACAGAAGCAAAAGCGAAAAAATTCCCTTCCCAATATATTTTTAGTTGCCAGGAAAACAAAACAAAACAACAAAAACCCCACAAAGTCAAAACAAACATTCAGCTATCTACCTTGAAATAAAACATAAACCTCCTACTGTAAAGCCCTAAGACAAATATCAGCTCAGGAATTACTAGATTTGTGTATATGTATTACTTTCAAAACTGTCGTAAGTCTTGCATTAGGAAGAGTTAAGAATTAATGTCATTAAGAGGAAAAAAAAAAACAAAAAAGCCTACAACTAGCAACCACAGAAAAGCTATGAAAAAGAAAATGCAGAACAGAAGGCTTCACAGTATATCTCAGACCACAGCAAATTCATTAGAAATAGCCAAGAGAAATACAGAAGATAAGAGGAGGATGGTGCTTGGGTAGGGGTCATAACCACATCAATATCATGAACAAAGACAGAACTCATCCCTCCCCATGGTAAATGAAGTAGTAGCTCCTGATCTCAAGTCATTTAAGAATAATTCAGTTTGGAGACATTAAACAACATCAGTTCAATAAATCAGTTGCAGTTATATTCTTCCCCAATTCTAATTACACAGTGCTTCTAAGATATTTTTACTGTATCGGCACATATTGAGATAGACTTAAATCACAGAAAAGTCTCTCTCAAATATATCCTGCTTAAAATACTGGACAAGAAAGGCTCGACTTAACCATGCCATCATAATTAATGAACATCCCGATGTGGTACAAAGAACAATGACAACATTGATCAGCACTTCTGTTATCAGCACTTTGCACCCTCCAGCAGTTGAACGGCACTCTACCACCTAATAAAGCCAGAGTATGTTAAATCAAATCTTGTCAGTGTGATATTCCACTCCCAAAACCACAAGGTAGCCAACCTGAAGGGTTTTTATCATTTGAGAAAAAAAAGAAAAAAAAAAATCTACAGCAGAAACGACTAGATGTTCTGACCTGTTTTACTCACCTTGCCCTTGAAGAGATGTGGGTTTTGATATATGAAGTCACGATAGCTTTCTGTACGCACTTTATCCTATGAATTAAAGGATAAAAACAATGCTCACTTTGCTTATTTATATGTACAATAAAGTTCAAACAAAGATGAAAAACCTGCTTTTAACCTGACCAAAGTAGGTATTTTCTGGCTACTGTACTTACAAGGATTCTGCAACTGACACGCTTTCAGTCTTTAGAATTTGTCATCTACGTATATAAAGCCAATTGAGCTGCTGTAGGAAAGAAAAAAATACCTTAAAACCATTCTAACCTGCAGCATTTCATTTGGGATGTTTCTAAGCAGTTAAATCTCTCAGAAACAGCAGTAACAAAGCGCCAACACGGCATCAGCTACATAAAACAGCCTTCTGTACAACGGCACGAACTTGAGTCTTGAATTCACAACTTTTTTTTTTTTTTTTTTTTTGGTTATCATTTTAATATACAAAATTGCCTGATACAGAACTTCCTTCAATACAGCTATGGATCAGAGAAACCTATTCTATTTCTGAATAAGCTACAAATTTGCAAACAATCTAGTATTTGAAGCTGTATAGTCCATGCTAGGAAAGCCAAATTAAAAGGATAAAAACATGGCTTGACTGTAACGCAATATGAACTGAAAAGCTGGAAAATATTCAAGAATGTGACAAAACATTTATTGTAACTTAGGAAAAGAAAACTAGCAGCATATCTTAATCTATCAGCACAGTAATAAACTGATGCCCTTAACATGTATCAGCAGATATGTAAATTGACAGCCAACTATAGCTTTTGGGATCCCTGATGCTCACAAAGCGTTAGACCCTTCTACCTAGTAAAGACCATCTACAAAATACTGAAGCATAAAATCCAAGAGCACATTTAGCTTAGCATACTATGGCAGGTAAGAATTTACAGAAATAATGAGAAAGTATAAAAATACTTTCTTAAGCGAGGGACAGCAAAGTCTGTCGCATCAGAAAAAAAAAGGAGAAATCAAAAACTGAGAACAAAAACCACGTTCATACAAATTATGGAAACAAACCAAGTTCTTCTGCGACTTTAAAATCCTAAAATACAAAATAGATTTAAGGGGATTATCTCCCTATAGGCTGTAACAGAAAAGTACAAGTGATTTCATAAAACTGTACTGCAAAATTATGCATAATAAGTGTGACCCAAGATCATTTAAAATTATACAGGTTTATTATAATGATATATTCAGAGCAACTATTTTTAGTACTTCACCTCTGCTGCAGTACATAATAGAATTTGCTGAAGCTACCAAAAAAAAACCCCAGAAGGTTCAGCATCAATCGAGAAAGCAGTGAGCTGGAAAGCTTTCAACCTTACACCCTGCCCACTCGTATTGGCTTAGCGCTGCCCCAACTTAATCAATAAAATTCCAAATGCTGTCTCTCCTCTATGCACTGCTGCCCAAGTAAGCCTTGGTCATTCACTTTAGGTCTTGCTATTCATCAATACCCTTCTCTCACTATTTCAGTACAATGCTTTTTGCTTGTTTTTAAAAGAAAAATGTAAGGAAATTTATGAAGATGATATTCAAGAAGCCTTCAGAGAGAAACAGTGAAACACTAACCATTTAGTCAGTCCACAATATTCTCCCCACATTTGAAATAATTGTAGCAACAGAAACTGTAAGTTTCTGTGTATAATATGCATAAGAAAAAAAAAAGGGGGGGGTTCAAAACAAGGCAATGTCAGAAAGATTCAAAATTCAGACAGCAGGTCTTCTTTCTTAAAGCTTTCAATGCAGCAAATCACCACATTTATACAAAAACAGTTCTCATTAAAAAAATGAACACCTGACATACAGCTAAAAATTCAATGCACACATGAYAAAACTGATGGTTTCCTATGTTTAGATTTTATAATATACCTTAAAGCGTATCTGTARAGCACACGATTAAGTGTTCCTAATGTTTCCTGTACAGTAAACATAATTTACATTTTACAGGAAGCATTAGGAACAAAGGAAATAGAAGTTGAAAAAAAAAAAAAAACACCAGCCCATCTCCTAAGGATAAAAACGAGCAAGTACAGAAAGGGTTAAAAATGCAGCTGCTCTGCAGTATATTTATGGGCACACAGCCCACTTTGTTCCATCTTTCCTGTTTAGCCCAGTAAGTTGCAGTTGAGTTCACTTTCTAACCTTCAGCATTTCTTCGTGTATCCCATAATGCCCATAGGAGCTGAAGTAAACACCATCCTCATCCTCATGAAGGTCTGCAACAGCGTTGGCTGACGAGCCGCTTCTGACATCTGCATCCATCACAAAATCCCGAGCAAATTGCCTGTAATCAATGTGAAACACACCCTTGAGACACGTTCATGGGACCGGGAAAAGGAGGCAGTAGGGTGAGGGGTGGGAAGGGGCTTGAAAAGATAAGGAATTCACACTTCAATGGGGTCTTTTATGATAATGGCCCTGGCTTAGGTAATAAATGTGCTGAATCTCCCTCTGCTGGTTTCCAGAAGCAGTTGCAGGATGATTCCCTCGTAAGGAGTCTCAGTGCATTACCTGACACACACACAGTTCTTTCTTATTTTAAGCACTCAAGACCATTAATAAAACATTCGTGGTATTTATATGCCACCACGTTTACCCTATTCAGACTTTGTTTCTATGCTTTAAATTGGAATTACTCATTTCAAACTTTCTTGTATAAAAGCCACACTACAGTCATACAAATTTATAACAGGAAAACGTGGCCATTTCCTCACGCTCTAAGTTGTGTCACGGGGGTTCAGGTTAGACATAAGGAAAAATTTCTACACAGAAAGAGTAGTGAATCACTGGAACAGGTTGCCCAGCGTCATGGTCAAGYCACCAGTCCTAGGAGTGTTCAAGAAACATGTAGATGAGGCACTTGGGGACATTTAGCAGGCAGGGTGGGGATGGGTTTACAGTTGGACTTGATGCATCATCTTGAAGGTCTTTTCCAACCATAATGGTTCTATATCTGAGTCTGCGACGTAGATATGYACTCAACTCAGTTGGATAGAGAAGGTGGCAAGAAATATCACTATGAGTGACAGCCTGTAGGCTACCTCTATACAACTACTTACTTGGTGACTAATTTAGGGCTACTGTTCCATCAGATCTAACAGATGTTCATCAGATTCTAACAGGTGTCTMCATGTAACATCTAAGATTGCTAACAGGTGTCTACATCTAAGATTGCTACCAGCCCATCTCTGCTGGATTTAGGAGTCTGTGCTAATAAAGAATAACTAAGGATTCTCTTATACAACAGCCAGGTAATTTGGAAAATTAACCCTCAAAAAGACATTTACATAAGCTTGACAGAAGTTTAGAGACACAAGAAAAAATTGCAGCCGTTGACTTGAAAATACATATATCTTTTAAATGCAAAAGGTACAAGAGTACAACAGGCAATATTTAGAGAAAAAAAACACTCCCAAAACAGGGTGTGCAGTAGAGAAGCAATTTTTTCTCATTCTTATCAGTTGATGATAATGAATTAATGCATAAGGTAGTTAYATAAGAACTGCATATAGCACTGTTAAGTTGGGCAAAGTTGGACAAAACTGTCCATTTTTGACATTCATAATGGCTCACAGCTGTCAGAATTTGCACAAACATATGAATTTGAAGTTTGGGTTACCTACTTAATAAGCAGTAAGTAGGCATGCTCAAAACATACCATGGACTCGCCAAATTTACAAAATGAGGTTTTGCAGCTTTATCTTCCAACAAAAGAAAACAACTTATTTTTCCAAGTTTATTAAAACAATTTTCCAGTGTCCGATTGCTGGGGTTGTAAGCATGAGGCGACGTATTTGGAAAGGATTTTATATCACGTGAGCCTCCAAAAACTTAAATTCCCCCTTTTATGTATGTACAGCATTAACAATCCTTCCTTTGAAGATCTCCATATTTACCAGTACCATATACAGCTACCGGAATGCTCCTGCTTTAAACGCACTGGAGATTCTTATTAACAGAACCTACACTTAAAATCAGAAGCAACCATAAACAGAAAGACAACTCATTAATTTTGGTCAAGGTTTCTCCAAACTGGAATTGGAATTTGCTACTACAACAAACTGAAATTTAGGACCATACTAAGCTTTCCAAAGCGTAGTTTTGTTAGTTTATAAAAAGATCTACAAGAGAGAAATGAAAATGACAGTCTCAAAACTGGACAAGGTTTTTAGTTAGCCAAATTCTACCACTTCCTTTGAATTTCTACATGGTCTTTAGACATGAACATTTCATCTCAGCTAGCACTTACTTCATTTTCTGAAGGTCATCCTGGGCTCTAACCAAGGCTGCTTCTGCAAGTTTGGCTCTGTGTTCCGCATGTTTCAGTTGTTCAAGGAGCACTGCAGTATCATTTAACCCATTAGAACACAAAACATTTGCAGGTTCACAGAGGTCATCTATATCTGGTGAAACGGAACAAAAATATCTGTCAGTTAATAGTGATGCTTCACAGCAGCTCATAAATATATTCCCATTTTTGCTGTTTTTGTCTTTAGACATTTTGCAATGTAGTCTGCTTTACAACAAGCTACTGAGTTTGAAAGAAATAACTGCAGAGTACTACTCAGCAAAAGTAAGTATTCTAGAAGTGAGTTTGAAGTTAACAATTTAATAAATCTCCTGCTTAGTTTAAAACTACTGTGAGCATTGCCAGATATTCCTCCTTTTAGTTTAAATAATCTTCGCAACAACTAATGAGCGAAATATTAGGCTGAGCTTAAAGTAAATACAATACTATGTTCTATTTCTCCAGTTATCCTATACAAGGACTGAAAAGGATGTTAATTGTRAAATGCAAGGAGAGAAAACCAAAACCAAACCAAAACAAGCTTTCTTAGTAAATTAATGTTAACTCCTGATTTTCACTTCAACTTCCTGGATTATTACAAAGCTTCTGAACACACACAAAAAAATGAGAGAGCTCAAAGTGAATGGAACTATAATGAAATAATGCCTTTTATTAGCAAAAAATGGACTCAACACTCTAGTTCATCTCTTGCTAAATTTGGCTAGTGATTTCAACAGAYGTCAGTGGACTAGAAGACAGCACTACTGTGTTTTTGGATAAAGTAAGAAGTTACTTTGGGCACAACAACTTGGCCCACACTATTAAAACCACGCACTGATGCTTAGAATATGATTTTCAGAGCATCTGTAAGTCTTGGCAATTTCCAGTGTAACTGAAAGCAATGAGCACCTCAGATTGTCCATTTATAGCTTAGACAAGCCATATACATTAGAAATGCAGAGTTCCAGTGAAATATGAAATCCCTGCAGTAAACAAACAATAATGTCTGTCTGTATTACCATGCAGCAAAACCAAACTGCATTACAGGTTGCACAGAGAAGAAACCTCCACTCCTAAATACCTAATGCCTTACATGAAGGAGGTGTGAGTGGAATGCACAGATAAGTGCCAAATCATAACAAAGTGGAATGATCATGGCAGCAAATATAAGCACAAGAGTCAAGCTGAATTGTCTCATGACTTCAAATTTTTCCGACGAATTGTCACCAAAAAAGAATATCAAATTGTTTATAGAGATAATTAGAACTAGCCAAAAAAAAAAAAAAAAATCTTCAGTGACTCTGGAGTGGAATGTTGTATTTGGTTGGTCCAAAAGACAACCTGCCTAAAAGATGAAGACACTTTCAAAAAGACAAATTATTTATTACTGCCCCATGGCATATTATTTCTGAGTGGACACCTCTGACTTTCAACATCTGCTTTTAGATTATTAAAAGTTTAAAATAAAATCTCCCAACTAATTTTGGATGAAGACCCTCTTTGACCTGCTCAACTGCATTATGAATACACWATTTACACTAAGCAAACACAGGTAATAAAACATGATTCCCAAAATATCAATCATTAAAAGCTACCATGTTATTTTCTGGCAAAACTTTCAAAAGGAGTCTTGAGAGTGACTTAACATCATTACTGCAGTATCTAACACTATTAAACAGTGATAATGCATTGTATAGCATGAAATCTACCAATACCACATAACATGGTACAGTCATATCACTATTTATTTTACCAAACTGAAGTAAGAGATCATCTTCTAGTTCAGGTTTTAAGTATTCCTCTCCTTCCCAAGGGAGTGGGCTGCTGAGCGAATTYAAATACGGCACAGTGGGTTTCTAGATGCAGCAAACAATAAAGAGCAAATAAACAAACTTTAAGAGCAAGAAGTTCAGGTCMGGCAGAGCAGACTCATAGAAAGTGAAGTCCACATTCCTATTAGGAACCAAGGTTTCTCAAGTGTTTGACTGCAGGAGGTCCATGGATAATGACAGAGATAATCAATAAGGTCAAGATCTTAACTGTGCAAACTTTTAAACAACAGTGCATCAGGGATCAACTTGGGAAGCACAGGCTTCTCTCTTACCTGAATCTTCCCAGTATTTTGTAGGGAGAGGAGATGTCATATTCTGCACCTCCTTTTTTCCCTCCCCACTATGATTTTTTTTTTAGTTAGTTATGCCTTAAACAGCTATTTAAAAAATTAAGTACTGGGAATAGTATACATACACTCAGTAGTGTAAGACACTATTCAGTCTAAATCTAAACATTTAGGAAATAAGAAGCTGCAGTATACGCAAGATGCACTTAGGTGTAACTTAAAACTCTAGGTTCCCTGCTGATTCTTGAAAATAAATTTTAGGTTAATCAAAGGAAAACATGTCATCTAAAGGACCAAGTGTGATCCTTTCCAACAAGATTCTGTCCTGCTTAGACCCCCAGGAAAGAGAGACTCTTCCATTCCAGGACACATACAAGAGATAWGAAGCTTCAGCTGCTAAGAAGTAAAGCCAGTGCTGGAACCACGGCAAGTCACAGGTCATCAGTTATAAAAACAACATGACATTATTTAACTTGGGCTTTTCATAAGCCTGAMATTTTCTCTTTTGAAATCAATAAAATCTTACGTCAATTAAATACATTTAAAATTAAAACATTTTCACAAATACTCATCTCTAAACAAAGCAARCAATTAGATAAGATTCCTTGATTTCTTATACATAGAAGTGTAATACATAATTCCATGCAGTTACATTAAAAGAAAAAAAAAAGAAAAGAAAAGGTAATTTTAAAGCATGGCATTTTGATTTCTCATTCTGTAAACACAACTATGCAATACGTGGCATACCTACCTTCAATCTTACAAAGTTTATTAGTTTAATGTATCCATAAAAGTCAAGTCCTGGAAAGAAAGAAAAAGAGATATTATGTCACAGGAAACCACATATTTAACAATAATACGGACATTAGTTAGCCTTTCAATCTTAATGTTATCTACATTTTTCCGATTTTTCTCTCATTAGCTCTAAATGTGAAATTTTCACAGTTAGCGCGAATACACTTGCCACAAATTAAAAACTGAACACAAACTTGACAACTATCATCTTTGTTCAGCAAACAACCCTGCATCAAGTCAGCTACCTCAAGTTATCTACTACAGTACAATCTTAATGACTGCTCCCGTTAYGCATCCTCATTTATATTTTCAAATTTCTGCTTAAATAGGATCAATGAACTTTTTCAAATCAAAAATACACAGCAATGTCAACTTAAAACTGCCACCCATCTCAGAAATAGCATTAAATATACTATGCACTTCCCTCAAGAACAACAACAAGTAGTACTCCAACCTGCCGTCACCACATAGCTTTAAAATATTTTTCATTGGATTTTAGACAGGAAACAGGCCAACTTTACAAATATACAGACCTTCTTTTCCCTAAATGTTCTGTGTACTTCACATCCTCTCATCTCTCCTTTTTACYGCACACTTCTGAAGTAGTATTTCTCCTATTTTCCCAGTATTTCTAGGAAATTTTAGGACTGTTTCCTAGTATTTCTCCAATTTTATTCCCCTGCTTCCCAGTTTTCCTCTATGGTCAGTAAGTCTGACTGGCTCAGGTAAATCTAGGAGACAGTAGGGACTCCAGCACAAGCCAGCAGAGACCACTCCTACTTCGAGCACTAGTGGATATTTTCATCGGAGCATGTAAGATATAAGATACAGCAAGCGCAAAGATAAGCATTTTTCCATAATAACTTGGAGTTTCAACCTTTGACTTTTCAGCTAAAACTAGAAARAGTTAAAAACAACCTCACCATCATCATTTGTTTTAAAAAGATGCCAATACACACRTGAAAAAGCCAAAGAAGTCCCAAAAAATTACCGTTCTTACTGATCACATCACCAACATTAAACTGATGTTCTATTTTGCAATGGGAGAATACATCTTCAGCAGAACTAAACAACCTGTAAATAATTATTAAATAAACAGTATTAATATGGCAGTATTTAGATTCTGTAACTTTCCTGTAGGTTTTATTTACASTCTAACTTGCTAGGCAAGGGGTTCACAGTATTTATATTTTTTTTTCAGGTCAAGAATGAACAGGTGTCTATTTAGACATACAACACCTCCCCCCAACGAAAAATGAATTTAATAAAATGTTTTGCAAACAAATCATAATAAACACATCAATTTTGTTTCACAGTACTAAGAACCTCTTAACTATCCCAAAATACTTCCGAGTAAAGACTGCTTCTCAGATATAAAAACTGCATGTACATATTTGTTTACCAGCATAGAAATAAATGTTCTCTAGTATTTATTGACTGTGAGAAAAAACAAAAGACGTCAAGAGATAAACTGCTATATTGCTTCAGGATGAAGAAGGGGAAATTCCTATCTCTTCTTAACATTTCTCCCTCCTTTWAACTATATTCAACAGAATTTCAGCACTAAAGAGCTCTAAATCTCTAGAGCTTCAGCTCTGAAGACTGCTGAAGAGGACACTGTGTCAAGATACCTTCCAGATATTCTAACTTGCCTGCCTCATACAGGCTGAACTTGAGCACTTACACGGACCACATTTTTGTGCTGTGGGTCCCTCAGGGCTCCCGTCGCCGTCCTCACCTGTCACAGAAGAGGCAGCGAGCCTGTGGGCGCTCCGCGGAGCCCTCCTCCTCCTCCTCCTCCCAGGCCTCCTCACCGTCGGACAGCTCAAGCATCTCCTCCTCTTCCAAAGGCGGCCGACCCRGCCCTGCAAAGCCCAGGAAAGGTTGGTTACCGATGGAAAAGGTGAGGGGGGCAGCGCCCAGGTACCCCCCGGGACACGGACAGGGACCGTCACTGACGGGCAGGGGTAGGACACGGACCGTTAGCGACACAGGAGGGCCTAGGTAGCCGCAGATCCCGCGCAGCGACCGTTAGCGGGAGGCAGGGACCGCGCAGCGACCGTTGGTGACGTCACACGACCACCCACCTGCGGGAGCAGCCACCGACGCCCGCCCGGCCATAGCGCCCCAGCCGCCACCCCACGTGCGCCTCCAACACCCACAAGGCCGCGCGCCGCTTCCGGGCTGGCGCCCCGCCCCYTTTGCGTCACCGTGGGCGGGGCGCGGCGGGGCCGAGCGGGCGCCCTCTGGCGGCGCCATCTTGTAAGGGCGGGCGGGAAAACGGTTGCTCAAAACGAGGAGCTCTTTTTTCCCGGCCAAACGGTCCCCAACGGCTCCGCATTGCAGGAGCCGAGCTCGTCGCGGCCCTGAAGCGCCTCGCTGTTGGTCTGGGGCGCCAAGTGTGGTTAATAAAACACGCACCACATCCCCCTTCTCGCTGAGGTGGCAGCTGCCCCGTTAGCGTTTGACCCTTATTTCCTCGCCTCTTCCTAAGGGTCGCAGTTCAGTTGGCCTTCCTGAATATAATTGTGTTGAGATTCAAATCCATCAGTTAAAATAAAGAAAATAAATACATAAATAAAKAAAGAATTGTGTGTGGGGGGGARGAGTGCAGGAAAGAAAAAAATCTGGAAATTCCAATATCCTTCTCTGKGGTTACAATCTCTTGTCTCTAATCTACATTTGTAAATCCGCCCTATGTAGCTTAATTTTCCTTTGTGTTATCCTCCTCTCAACTGAAAGTAAACCACAAGAAAAGTTTTTACACGTGGATTAGATTTACCGAGATTAAGCCCTTGCTACAGTCAAAGGGCCATGAAAAATTTAAATGTGGAAAATTTATTGTGGTTATTTGTGAATCCCATGAAAATTTATTGTGATTTATTGTAATTTATTGTGATTATTGTGACCAGAATGACAAGTTTGGAGGAAAAAAAAAAAKAATATGACCTAATTTTATCTATTTTTTTTTAACCCAGTCTCCAATGGTAATAACTGCTACAGGAAACATGACAGCAATTCTGCAAACGCTGCTCAGCGGCACTGCCCAAGACTCCAGCAAGTCCACCTCCCTCCTGCTCTCGCCTCCGTGCCTGATCCCAGAACCAGATAATAACAGATAAAACAGATATAATGACTGTGCCGAGAGTCCCTGGGCTGATAGGCGCAAGAGCAGGAACAGCAGCTCCTTTGTGAGACACCCAAGCTCTCCCCCACGGCAGGGGCAGGGGGTCACTGATTGCATCGTCTCTGCTCCGTTGCACTCTTTGCTTTTGTTCACTCTGCTCAGAGAATAGTGTGCCACACAGCCCTGTAACCGAACCTTTTTTTCTTTTTTTTTTTTTTTTAATTATTGCACACATTCAGGTTTTCCATAAACGTAAAGCGCCCGTTTGGATCAGTGCAGTGTGAAGAGTCTGTTAAATTCTGAAGCGAAAGTATAGAAGCCACACCGGTACCTCTTGAAATATGAGCATCTTTGTTGCAATCTCATAATCCTTATAAGGGGATTTGCATGGTACAGCAAGATTTACAATGTAAGGGATTACAATTTTATAATCTGGGCCCAGGGGAAAAAAAATCAAATATTTACTTTTTTTTTTCCTTTTTTTTTTTTTTAAATGAGTTTCCAACTTTCCTCCAGATCCACAAACACAACACTGGAGAAGTTGTTCAAGGGTTGCACACAAAACAGAGTACCAACCTATCACTTGTGGGCTTCACTTCGTCTTGATTTCCAAACACGTGTAATTCTATCCTCTACCYGTGTCTGCCTTTCATCCTTCAATATTTGTCATCCTTGAAAAGCACATGAAGTATATTAATAAATATTACTTAGGCAACAAATGAAACAACTATTTCTTTGTTTTGGTCAAATATATAAGAAAGAAAAAAGTTTTAAAGGAAATAACATTGCCCAGCAAACCCTACTGCTTCTCAGTCAGTCACCTAGGTCAAGTATGCGGTAGCAACTGGAGTTAGATTTTTTTTTTTCAAACACCCAACATCTACAATAGAACATGCAAAAATCCACAGAACCATGAAGCTCAAGACCAAAAACAATTTTGACAAAACCATTTTTACCTAAGAAAGCGCAAATCATCTCAATTTTTATGTGACATACCTGAGATAAGGCCACCCACTTGCTACATGCAGTGCCAAGAATGATGCTGCTGATCCCACAGAACATAATGGCACTGGTATTCAGTTCTCCCATCCCAGTTTGTAGTATTTTCTTGTAATTAATAAAGCAAACTCAAGGAGGTTCTTAGAAAGCTATCACTTCCGAGCACTGCACTGTTGCAAAGCTGTAACAGTGAGAGATGCAACTGAAATAGGTACAAACATCTGCGGAGTATTAAAGGGGCATCAGTGCAAGTAAAGCAGCATKAATGCTGCTGATCTCTTGCTCTCTTATTAGCTCTTAGCTGAAAGGGGAATTTTGACTCTTAAAATGATCAAGAGCATGAGAAAGATTAAATAAAAGAAAAACAGAAAAAWTTAAGTCCCCATTAATACGCAGAGGGAACAAATACTAATATAGTGAGGTGCAAAAGGCTTTCTTTATTCCTATTATCTGGAARAAATAGTGATATCAAAAGCAGTGCTGCTAGTCTGAATTTACAGTCTCAGTCAGCATGCTCAGCATACTYATGACACCTGAGTAGGTGTCATGCTCCCCTGAAACAAAATATATTTATCAACATAGAGAAGCACCTAAAATGTGCATTTAGGCAGTAGTCTGAGAAAGGTCTACAGACCACTGGCGTCCAAATGCAATAACTCCAGTCAGTGCAAACATATATGTATAAAAATATATGTGTGTATATATATAGACAAAGGTGCTAGTGGGCACATTAAGGAAAAATCAGTGTTTTCAGAACAGAGGTTAATCTAACTGCTTTCTATATCTATGCTTCTATAGGGAAAACCACTTGGAATCAGAACAAATCATTACCGAGGTAAATTATAAAAGAAGCATTTTCTGAAATCATCTTCTTATCTGAAGTAAAATATAGTATTTACCTGAAGCCTTGTCTTTACCATAAAAAAATACAATTTCAGCTAATCCACAAAAAAAAAAAAAAAAAAAAAAAAAAAAAAGTGGACTGGCATTTTGTGGTGTTTATACATCCCAACAGGTCAAACTAACAGAACTACTAGACCTGTATACTAAAAACAAACAAACGAAAAAACTCTACAGCAGCTCTTTGAGATAGAGTGATTTGTAAATATCTACAAGATATTTAGTGTTGCAATGATAGAGGCGAAGCATTTGGCCATCTCTGGAGGTAAATACCTAGAAAAGTCACTTGGAAACAAAAGCCCTTTTTGCAAGGGACTGAGCATTTGAAAACACCTCGCTGAGCAGCATTGGCTCTTGTCTATATTCACCTAGGGTAGTTGAAGTCGGTGGAAAATAGGGTTCAAATCCTCTGAAGCCCTAAACAGCAATATGATACCTAAAGAATAATGTTGGAATCATAGGGGAAAGAAGCCTTACTGCAGATTTGCCTTGATATTTAAGGAATCTGCAGCTGGAGCTGGAGGTTTAGTGCCTAGATTTTCAAGGCTTGCTAAGGGTGCCTGCAAGAGCAGAACAGCGACGCGAGTAGAGGAAGAGGATGCAGTTTTGCAGACTACAGAATAATAGAGGAGCACGTAAGACAAACCATCTATTCCGAATCAAGAAAGAAGCCACTCAGTGGCATTAGGTTACTGCTTAGATTTTTGTGATGGCTTTTTCTGAGTTTTCTTGTTTTTAGCTCTTCTGTTGAGAGTTTTTTGCCTCTTTTCAACTCACATTCACAAGTTCATTTCACAAAAAAAAAAAAAAAAGCACAAAACTTGAAATACACTTCAGTCCCATTGCAAATTCTCCTGATAAATATTAATTTGCACTTTTTTTAAAGGTGGATGCTTGAGGTATTTTGAGTAGTAGCTATGTGTGTTAAATCTCCCATTCTTTGCACCAGCTTCTTTAAAAAAAAATAAAAAAAACCCCAGCCAATCGAAAGTGCCTCTACCGACGCCGTCTTCCTCAGTTAATCCAAGGCCAGCAGAGGGATAATTTGATTAAACTGAGACCCTAATTTATTTAGCTTTAGTTCTGGATCAACCTCTCCTTAATAGAGTCCTGTCGTCTCCGATTGTTTGATGAAAATTAAAGTGACATAAATACCATGGGACTTTTTCAATCTGATTAGTCAGCTAACTTGCATCAATACTACCCCAGCCATCAGGCGCTGGCGTCCTTCCTTTCACCAGCCTCACTAACAAGTGACAAGTCCTCCTTGAAGCCTGGGCACCCACGCTGCCACTCAGACCCCCACACTTAACCCATCATCCCTCCTCAATGGGTCGTGTTTGACAAGGTGCCCACACCTTTTTCCATTGCTGTTCATCAGACAAAGCTAAATATTGTTTTATTAGCAATCAATAGCCTGTTAATCCCAAACGATTTCACAAATCCACTGAGCTCTCAAGCTGATTATAAACATTCAGGTTTTTTTTTTTTTAAGCTGCTAAATTTCTGATGGGTTTTCTCCTGCTTTCCCAACCCTCCCTCTCTGGTGTGGGACATTGTAGTTGGGAAGCAGAGCCACAAAAGCGAGAGAGGGCTGTGCTCTTTCATGTTGCCTTTAACTAGACATCTACAAAAGTTTTACAGTTTGAACAGGATCAAACCTATGGCACCTAAACCTCAACAGACTTGCTGATTGGCCTGAAATTTAAGAAGAAAACTTCTGAGCCTTTCCTTTTCTTTTACAGGGATATGGTAAATTCTTGTTGAGTCTGTGGGCCTTCAGAATAAGGAGAAAGAGAGAAGCAAGCTT